AATAAATTCCTAATGTCAACTCCATGCTTATGCTTATGTTAACAGTAATAGCAGTATACATTACTGTAAGGTTCGCAAAATAACTTCCAAATGTTATCTCATTTGAGCGTCACAACAACCCTGGGAGCTAGGAGCTATTATAGTCTCTGTTTTACAGATAAGGAAACTGACTCAGAGAGAAATTAAGTGACTTGCTCAGGGTCACATAGTTATGCATCTGAAGGAGGATTTAAACTCAGATCTTTCTAGTTTCAAGTCCAATGCTCTATCCATGGCTCTTTCCTTTCTGTCCAAATCCTATTCCTGCTTCAAGGCTCAGCTCAAATGCCAGGCCCCCTCCTCCATCAAGCCTTCCTTGATTTCTCTTCACCCCCTTTGAATTACCATAGCATTTGTTTGTATCACTCATATCTTCAGGCTCGTAGTAGAATATATGTTTCTTAAGGGGAGTGGTGTTTTATCTATCTATGTCATTATCTAGTTCTACATTTATTTATTTATTTATTTATAGTCTATGTGTATGTCTCCAGACCACCTAGAACAATGTCTTGCTCATAGTAGGCATTCTAAAAATGCTTCTTAGAGTGGGAGGATGGTAAATAAAAACAATTAGAAATATCCCAAGGTGGAATATTGGGGGGGGAGGTGTGGGGAGAAGAGGAAGAAACAGAGGGCATCTGGTGTCAAAGAGGTGATTCTGGATCATGGACAGGATAGATGGTCTCTGAAGTCTTTCTGACTCTGAGATTCTGGACTCTAAATTTTCACCCCAGATCTCTATACATCAGGATTACTCTGGCCTGGTAGATGCCCCAAGGTCTGGACTACTTGAGTTTTACAGTGGCAAGATGGTCCTCTGGTTTAGAATGAATCCTAAGATGGTTGTTCCTTACTGAGACAGATAATTGAGTACGATCGGAAGTCACACTTTCTTCCTGGGCCCTTGAGAAACCCAGTACATTGCTGGCCTCTTGAGGGTGCCTAGAACTGGCTGCTTTTTATTTGCTAAAAACCCATTCCACACTAAAGCTTCCAAGGGACCTCCAAAACCCTTTCATATCCTTTGTCTTTATTTCATCGTCACAGTAGCTCCTGCAGGGTATAGACATCATTATTATTTCCATTTTTCAGATGAGGAAACAGGCTCAGGTAGGTACAGTGACTTGTGCAATTAAGTTCAACAAGCATTTATTAAGCCCTTTACTGTATGCAAGGTTTTATACTAGGCTGTTGTTGTTGCTTTTTTGTCCTTCTTTCCCAAAAAGGACCTTGATACCAGGAAGGGGATGTCAAAACTTGCAAGTGAATTGGATTTAAGTGAAGGAGGGCTGCACAAAGTTACCAGGCTCACACTAGGCACCAGGCATAAGAAGATAGAAAATGACACAGGCCTTGCCCTCTAAGAGCTTATACTCTAAAAGGAAGGATGAAAACACAGACGTAAACAAGTAGGACACAAAGTAGAATGTGACATGGCCAAAGGGAAAATCTTGACAAAGCACTCTGAGAATATCAGTGAGGGAGATGATTAATAAATGACCAAAGCCCAGGTCTATGCTTTCAGGTACATCTCAATATGATGTGCTCTCTGCCAGGGAAAGCACTTTGGAGATTAAGAATGGATCAGTCATTCAACCTAAAGAATGAGGGGAAGGGAATAAGCATTTATTAAGCACCTGCTGTGTGCCAGATACTAATTGCTTTTACAAATATTATCTCACTGTGATATTATTATCTCCATTTTACAGTTGAGTAAAGTGAAGCAGGCAGAGAGGTCCAGGGTCACAACAGCTAGTAAATGTCTGAGGCTGGATTTGAACTCAGGTCTATCCTGATTCCAGGCCTGGTCCTCTATCCACTGCAACACCCAGCTGCCTCTGATAAATGGAACAATCCCTGCTCTCAAGGAACTTACGTTTTTAATGAAGGTGACAAGTACATATATAAATATATATAGAATAAACAGAAAGAGAATAAAGACAAATGAATAGAAGTTAAACACAAGGTAGTTTGGGAAGGAATAGCTGGGAGATTCAGAAAGGGATGCTTAAGCTACATTTTGAAGGAAGAGAAGGATTGTATCAGGCGGAAGTGAGGAGGGAGTACATTCCAGGCCTGAAGGATGGGCAGTGCCAAAGCTGAAAGACATGGGGTATAATACTGTATGTGAGGGACAGAGAGAGAGAGAAGGCCAATTTGACCAGATAGCAGAGGGTGAGCCGGGGGCAGACTGTCCAATGAGGCTGGAAAGCTAGGTTGAGACCAGCTCAGGGAGGGCTTTAAAAACCAAACAAAAGAGTTTGGCCTTGAACCTAAAGGTAGTAGGGAGCCATTGGAATTTATTGAGTAAGAGAATGGCATAGTCAGATCTGCCCTTAAGGAAAACCACTTGGTAAGTGGTGTGGAGAATTAGTAGGAATAAGGGAGAGATTTGAGGCTAGGAAACCGATCATATGTAGGGGGTAAGGATTTGGGTTTCAAGGGTATTTGGTGGCTATAGGGATAGAGATGTCAGGGTGGGAAAGATAAATTACTCAGGCTCTGAGCTTCCTTAATTCTTCTTCTCCCCTCCGGACAGAGGGGCCCTCTGACAATCTGCGGGGGAGAGTCTCTAAACCTTTCCTTCTCTACTGTATGATGGATCAAGGGAGCTAAGATGTTCCCTCTCAGTTGGGCCTGTCCTCAGGAGATGGGGACATACAGAGACTCAGGACTTTGCTTCTTCCTTACTCTTGGGAAAGGTACTTTAGCACCTTTAGTAATGGACAATTCATTGCTTGCCTCAAAGGTTCTTGCCATAGGTTGAGACAACCCAGCAAGAAGCAAGTCAGATATGAAAGTGAGGAGGGAGAGTAGCTTCCACCTTAATGCAAGGAGAATAAGGCCTGGGTTGCTGGCTCCCCCACCTACTTCTGATGGTCCCTCACTATTGCAGAGGTGATAGGTGTCCCAGTCATGCTGAGGAAACTGCCCAGAGAGCCATGGAACCTGTGTTGCATTGGGCACAGATCCTCCCCCTGGGCCCTTTTTATAGCAGTGCTAGAGGAAGAATGAGCTTAAGTTCCAGGTCAGAATCCCTGGGCCCATCCTTTAGGAGATGGCTAATCTTGAATGGGGTAGGGGTTTTGTCCCATTTCACCCAAACTAACACTGGGGCAAGAACTCCTGAGTTCTCTATTGTAAAAATGTACTTCTAGTTTATTTGTCTATTTACATGTGTAAATTCATTTGTTCATTCATTCAACAAACTCTTCATTAATTGACTGTGTGCATGTTCATAAGGTAGGTCCTGGGCAGAGGCTCAGAGATATCTTAGAGCTCATAGTTTAATAAGGAAGGTAAGACATGTAAACAAATAAATTAATACAACTTAGCATATGACAAAATGTCATCAAATCAGATGATCTCAGTCATTTATTGGACATAAGTCTTATGGGAGAGGCAGTCAAGTGTGGTGGATACTTAGCTGGCCTCAGGGTCAGAAAGACCTGGGTTCAAGTTCTACCTATTACACATAATAACTGTGAGATCCTGGGCAAATCACTTAACCTTTCAATGGTCCAGGCAACTCTAAGACACTAAGTTTTAGAAAAGATGCCTGTCTGCATTGGAAAATGAAAATCTTCACTTCAGGTTCCCTCTGTCAATGAAATTGTAGGTCAGGGGAAAAAATGTATTATGTATTTATATCCCATGCAACAATTCAAATATTTATCAAAGGCATGTTGTGTACAGAGGCTGGGGAGAAATACAGACTTTAGAGAAGACTGTCTATGAAATTAACCTGGTATTTGCTCTCAGAGTGTAAGTGGAGGACAGGTCTGACACACCATACGGCACCTTGTACAGAACCAGGCACAAAGAGCTGTTTTAAAAGGTGACCTTGTCTTATCCAATAGATTTGTTCCTGAAAAAGTTGCATATAAATAAAATTTATGTAAATCAAATCCTATTTTAAACGCTCCTTTAAAAAAGCCTGGGAGTGGCATCGTAGAAGCAGTTCTGACATCAGAGGACTGAGTTTGAATGTTGGCTCTGCTACCCACCAGCACCTCTCTGGGGCTCTGTTTCCTCACTTGTAAATGAGGTCATTGGACTAGATGATCTAAGGTCCCTTCCAGGCCTAAAGCCTGTGATCTAAATCCAGACGGAAACAAATCCTGCAAATTCAAGGACCTGTGTAACAAATCCTTTCTAGGAGAGAAGAATCAAGCCCCAAATTCCTTTGTAGATCGAGATGAAAGATCTGCAGGTTGCTTAACTCAGGGTCCAATGGGATGGGTTTCTGGCTGGCATTTGAAGCTCAGCTGCCATAGGCCCAGGTAGGCAGTGTGGTCAGAGGCAGGGAGGAATGGGCCCAGGCTAAGCAGGTGCTAGGCTGAAGGCAGGGTTCTGGGAAGGAGGCATCATACTCAAACCAGTCTCTGAGTCAAAAATACATTCAAGACTTCTGGGTTGGGAGTTACCAACTCCTATTTCTGGGTTCTGCCCAGCCTCAACCTGGCACAGAGAACACATTTCTCAGAATTAGCATGTTGCTCAGAGAAAAAGCATGCTGTAGTCAAAAGTGGCCTTGGAGTCAGGAGCTCTGAGTTCAAATCCACACTTATAAGCTCTGTGACCTTGGCTTGTCCCTTGACTTTTCTGAGTATCAGGGTCTTCATTTACAAGATAGAAATGATGATATTTACATGATTTACCTTATAGGACTTGTTTTTGAGGAGAGAACTCTACAAAGCTTAAAATGCTATGGAAATGGAAATTGTTATAGTTATGGAGTAAATAGTGAAGCAGTCCTGGCCCAGAGAGCTAAAGGAAAAGAAACAAGTGGAGTCCTGGGCTTGAGAGGCATCACATTTTTTCTTGGATAACCTTGAACGGGCACTGTGGGATTGGTTGAGGGATCTGTGGGGTCGCCCATGCTGAAACCCAAGGGAAGGTGTACTGTGGGTAGGGAGGACCCCATCCTCAGGAAAACGATGCTTTTGCCCTTCCTGCAGACCGAGCCCGGCAATGCCGTTTGGCTGTGTGACTCTGGGAGAAAAGAAGGATTATAACCAGCCATCTGAGGTGACAGACAGATATGACTTGGGGCAGGTCATCAAAACGTGAGTGCTGGGCCCTGGAGAAAGGGGGGCGGGGTATCTTGGAGGGATAAGGCACCAGTAGGGAAAGAGGAGAAGGAGGGAAGAAGAGGGAAGTCATCTTGGTGGGGTGAAGGAGCAAGATATATGGAAAGAGAAAGAGAGAGAGAGAAAGAGAGAAATGGATTTGAAATCAAAGGATCTGAGTTCTAATTCCTGCTCATTTGTATGACCTTGGACAAATCATTCCATCTCTCTAGGCATCTTTTTCCTCACATGGATAATGAGATGGGTTGGACAAGATCTCTAAGATCCTTCCAGTTCTAAAGTCATTTGATTATATGATCCTGGGGAAGTGGGCATGGGTGGGGGTAGGGGACAAACCTGGGCTAAACAGGGCCCTGGGCTGCAGGGAAGAGTTCTGCGAGATTTTTCGGGCCAAGGATAAGGCGACAGGGAAGCTGCATACCTGTAAGAAGTTCTTAAAGCGAGATGGGCGGAAGGTGCGCAAAGCAGCCAAGAATGAAATCATCATCCTGAAAATGTAAGTGCTAGGAGCTGACCTCTGACCCCCAGCCCTGGGACTGAAGATCAGAAATGTGGGAGGGGGGGAGAGAGAGGGAACGGGCAAGGGCATGAGGACGAAAAACAAGAGGAAGAGGAAGGCAAGTGGAGAGGAAAAAAAGGAGAAAGAATAGAGGCAAGGGGAGGAAAAGAAGTTGAGTGAGTAGTAAGGATGGAGTCATGGAAAAGAAAGAAGGATTGAAGAGAATGGAGGTGGAGTGTGGGTGAGGAATGAGAGCTTTCCCCTCACTCCAGAGAGTCCTCAAGTCCAGATCTCTGGCCCCTTGCCTTGCGCTAGATGGCTGGACGCCGTCCCTGGCACCTGGTAGTTTTTAGACCCCAGCCTTTACTCCCATGCCTGCCTCCCTGCCTCCTTACTGCTCCACTAGCTTCCCTTTAGAAAGAAGAGCCCCAGGCTAGCTCCCACACCCCCAAAACAGTTCAGGGCCTTTCCAAATATCTCCCCCCCATTCCTGTTGTAGAGGGATCTTATGTCTATGTATCGATTGGATTATGGCTTTGGGGGCCCTTTCCAAATCTGAGATCTATGATTCCCCACTCCCATCTCCGGCCTTAGGGTGAAGCACCCCAATATCCTGCAGCTGGTGGACGTGTTTGTGACCCGCAAAGAATACTTCATTTTCTTGGAGCTGTGAGTAGGGGAGGAGGTAGAGTCTGGGGTCCCTAATTATCCACTCGCCCATAGCTTAGCCCCGAAAGCTTCCTCTGCTCCATCCTTCTACAGCTAATGTCCTCCCCCCACCTCCAGCCGAAAGGCTGAGTTGCAGCGGTTTGAGAGCTCCCTGGCAGACAAAGTAAAAAGCTGTCCCTAGATTGGCAGTGCCCTAGAGAGAACCTGGTACTTCTGAATTCTTTACCATTTATACTCTGCCAGCTCCCCAAGAGGAGTTCCAAGAGCCTGCCTTTCTCTGGGAGAATGGTTGGCAGGCTCTCTTTTCTGGCATCTGTGCCCCTTTCTCAGGCTCTCTCTAGGCTCCAGCACATGTGGGAACTTCTCCAGGTTAGCCAGCCTCCTGCCTCCACGCTCATTAAGATCTATGGAATCTTGGGTCAAACTGGGAGCAGCCTAGCTAGTGAAGACATATTCTGGTTCTGGCATGAAAGTATCTCCTCCAGCCACACACACAAATCCACAAGTATCCTCCCAGAGTCTTTAGTCCATCCCTGTCCCTTGGTCTGCCATGTTCAACTTAGAGGGTGTCTCAGGAAGTAGATGTGGGGAAAGGACTGAAGGTTCATTGTCCCACAGAGCCACGGGGAGGGAAGTGTTTGATTGGATCTTGGACCAGGGATACTACTCAGAACGAGACACAAGCAACGTGGTGCGGCAAGTCCTGGAGGCTGTGGCCTACTTGCACTCCCTGAAGATTGTTCATCGAAACCTCAAGGTGTAGCCCTGGTCCAGGGTGGAGAAAGGAACCAGAGGGGATGAGTGGCCCCGGGGGATTGTCCTGGGGAAGGAAGGGCCCTGAGTTGTAGGCAGCTCTCACTGGTCCACGTTTCAAACATCTCCTTTGTGAAATATCTGGATAAATTTGTCATCTCTGGCTGGCTCTCCCTTACACTGACCCCTGCCATCAGGAAGTAGGTACTTGGGGGGACATAAATGTATGGGATTTAGCCTGAGCTGAAGTAATCAGGAAAGTTAATTGCGGGGAGCAGTGTGCATTTAGATAACAAATAAAAATGATATCCAGAAAAATTAGTGAAACACGTTTGGGAATTATCCATTAGTTTGGATTATGTATACCTCATAATGGAAGTCCCTCTCCATTTACACAGATAATTGAGAGCTGGCTCTATAAGGAAGGGGGCATGGGGAGCTGGGCTGTAAGGATTTGAAGGCCCTAGAATAAAGGTCTTAGATCTGAAAGACCCCTAGTTTTGGAATCTGGGCACCTCAGTTTGAATCTCAGTTCTGCTCCTTCCTTCTTTTCTGGCCTTCCATATCATACCCTCTCTGTACCTCAGTTTCCAACTCTGTAAAATGATGGTGGGAGGGGAGAACGAGATAATCTCTAAATCTATCATTCTACTAAATTCAGGGCAGGGGAAGGGGAGGAGGGGAACGGTAGCTGAGGTGGGAGACGGTGTCTCTGGTGAACAGCATGGTGTTCCAGTGGTGCAGGAAGGGGTGGGTCTTTGGGGCTATTTCTCAGAATCTCACAGGATCTTTTCCCACGTATGTGGCCTGGTGGTAGTTAGAGAATCTGGTATACTACAACCGGCTGAAGAATTCCAAGATTGTCATCAGTGACTTCCACCTGGCCAAACTAGAAAACGGACTCATCAAGGAACCCTGCGGGACCCCAGAGTACCTGGGCAAGGAGTGGGAACTTTGGGGCGGGGGTAGGGAATGTAGAGAAGGGAGGAATAGGGTAGGGTCCAAGGAAGAGAGGGGAGGAAACAAACCTGGGCTGAGATACCTTCCCCAAGGGCTGCTTGGCTGCTCCTGAAAGACAGGTCCCCATCACCACCCTCTTTACCCTCAGAAAACCCCCTTGCCCCACATATCTGGATTTGCTTTGGGACATTTCTCCCAAGATCCAGGTAGGCAGAGAAGGGTATGATGTAGGATGATATCAGCAGAACCAAGTGGGTTGGGGAAGAGGGGAAACTCAGATGGGGTTAGTTGGGGCATGACACTGATGGATTCCATGGTTGTAGCCCCTGAGGTGGTCGGCCGACAGAGGTATGGACGGCCTGTGGATTGCTGGGCAATTGGAGTCATCATGTATATTCTGTGAGTGGGAAGAGTGAGAGGAGAGGGAGGTGAAGGGAAGAGGGAAGGAAAAAGAGTTCTGGCCTTCTGGTAGGCTATACTTAGGGATTCCTCTCCCCACTCTGGACTGTAGGCTGTCAGGAAACCCCCCCTTTTATGAGGAGGTGGAAGAAGATGAATATGAAAACCATGACAAAAACTTGTTTCGCAAGATCCTTGCTGGAGACTATGAGTTCGACTCTCCATACTGGGATGACATCTCACAGGCAGGTAAGAAGGCCATGTGGACCCAAACTCTTGGGGCCTCCTCTTTCATACTCCACTTTTTTGTCCCATATCCCACAATGCCTAACCCCCCAGCCATATCTCTTGGAACCTCTCACGTTGCTGCTCACTGTAAGGACTCAGACCTACTCTATTCTGGATAATCTCCAGGATCCCTCTGTTCCTTTCTAATGGGTTGTCATACTCAACTCACCTTTTCCCACTCCCCATCTTTCAACTGGGACACAAACCTTGTTTTCCACATTGGGTCCCTACAGCCAAAGATCTGGTGACTCGACTGATGGAAGTGGAGCAGGACCAGAGAATCACCGCTGAGGAGGCTATCTCCCATGAATGGTGAGTGGGCCTCCCAGCCTTCTTTTCTATGTCCAAGTCAGGTAATGGGGTATGGGGTTCATGTCCCACAGGACTATGGGAAGAGTGGTGCTTGAGTGGGTCTTGATGAAGGATACTCCCCAGAGCCTGAAATGAACAAAAGCGACACATTGGAGGTTGTATCCTAGCAGGAGTAGAAGATTAGGCATCAAGACCTCAGGATGTAGCCTTGGATTGGGGAAGTTACTGGAAGGGATGAAGGTTGGGGGCACCACAGGCTAGCTTTGGGGAAGAGAAGACATTTACTATGGGGTACCCCTTGAATAGGGAAGGGTAGAGTTACTTCTGAACCCTGCATGTTGGGAGCAGGTTGTAATCAGGAGATTGGTGGGCTTGGGGTTGGTCCCTAATTAGAAGTGGGGAGCCTCCTGGATTTCCTCTTAATATCAATTCAGGCCATTTTGGTTTGCTTTATACTCTTTGCTAAAACTCCCCTGATTCCTGAATGCCAAGTCAAGGCCTGTAATTTCCTCATTCTTCCTTGCCTCTGAGCTGACTTAGTTCCCTGAGTTCAGAGATCTGTTACACATAACCCCTAATTACTTATCCTTCTGTGTCCTCTTGCTACTACCACTGTCTCTGGGTTCCCTTTCCTTGCATCTGATCTCTTTCTTTTCTATTCCTTGTTTCCACACACTCCAGAGTATGTATTGACAAAGAAAAAGGGTATATACAAATTCAGAAATAATACGACAGGGTAAGGCAATTAGAAGAAGATATATAAGAAATCTACCAGTTCCAGACCAGGTGGCCCTAAATTCCTAATGTAAGTTCTCCCATGGCTAGCTTGACCATTGGGATTCCTCTTGGGGCTGAGAAGAGAGTAACAGCATCATAGTTCCTTGAGAAAATTGCATCCTATCTCTAGGGATACTCCAAAGCAAAATTTGGGGTTGACCCACCTGTATTTGACGGACCAATCATACTGATCCACTTTATAATAATCTCAGTTTCACTTAGGAAGCTTCCTGAAGACAGGTCAGTCTTGTGCTGCTGTAATATGACATAATATAATGTAATCTAATATAATACAATATAACATAATATAACATGACATGACATGACATAATGTAATATTTTGCATTATAGTACATAATATAACATAATATGACCCCTTAACTAATTATCCATCTAACTAAACCTCTGTCCCATCAGAGAATTTTACTTCTTCTAGGGATGTTTCTTCATCTCTAAAAATGAGGAGTTAGGATGTCTTCCAAATCTCAAATCTTATGCTTCTAAATCCTCAGTAGGGATTTATCCCAACCAGGATGCTGACAACTTGGGAGCAAGGGGTGGGCACCAAAGGAATCTGCGCATTCACCCCTTTAACCTCTTCTAGGATTTCAGGAAATGCTGCTTCAGATAAAAACATCAAAGATGGAGTCTGTGCCCAGATTGAGAAGAATTTTGCCAGGGCCAAGTGGAAGGTATCAGCCAGGGCGACCTCTTTCTCCCTCTGTGCAGCTGTTTTCTTTCTCTCCCCCTGCCTCAGACATTTCTGACCTTGTTCCCCGTGGATTTTTCTCTTCCCCAAGGATTGATCCTCTGAATCACTCCTACCCTGGAGAAAGTTTCCCACGTGCCTTTGTGTAGTCCAGAAGTGGTTGCATGAATAGAGCAAAGGGCCCAGCAAAGGCCTTGGGTCAATGGTCTTTGGAGAATTATTCCAGGTGTCATGGGTTGCTGTGCCATACCTTCTCTCCACCCGAGTTCTTTTCCTCCTTCCAGAAAGCTGTCCGAGTTACCACACTCATGAAACGGCTCCGGGCTCCGGAGCAATCCAATGCAGCTGCTGCCCAGGCTGCTCCAGCCACGGACCCTGCCAACCCGGCAGCAGCTGGGGGAGCCACATCTGCAGCTACAAGTGGCACCAGCATGGCTCCAGAGGGCAGTGCTGCTCCAGCTGCAGAGAGCACTGCCACACCAGCCGCTAAAAGTGGTGACACGTCTGCCACCGACGGCAGCGCCACCCCGGCCACCGATGGGAGCGTCACCCCGGCCACCGACGGCAGCGTCACCCCGGCCACCGACGGCAGCGTCACCCCGGCCACTGACAGGAGCGCTACACCAGCGAGTGGAGGGAGAGCCACACCTGCTACTGAAGAGCACCCTACACCAGCCCCCAAAAGCAGCAGTGTGCCTGCTGCCAAGGCAGCTGTGTCCCCTGAGCTGGCCCCGGCCCAACCGGACAGCACAGCTTCGGGGGTCCAGTCGGTACAGGCTCTATCCACGTGTAAAGGAGAAGAGGCTGCCAGTCCCGCCCAGGAGGCGAGGAGCGAGGAGACCGGCTGAGCCGGGCAGGGGAATGGGTGGGGGGAGGGCGAAGGGGAGGGTGGGCATGGGGGAGGGTCTCACTGTACATAGAGTCACTGGCATGACAATCCCTGTTTCTTGGAAGGGCCACAGCCTAAGCCATGCCCTGCGGCAGCCTGTGGTCAGGGGGTGTGGCCTGGCCCCCTCCCCTGTGGGGTGGATCCCTAGGGGCTGCAAGAGAGCTGTTTCTTCCTCTGTATGTGTGAGTGGGTGGGGGAAGCCCTGGCTGGCCCCCGGACCCTGCATGGATTTTTTGTGGCTTTTTTTTGTCTTTTGCTGGCTTCTCCTATTTCTGTTCCTTGCTGGACACTGCTCTAGGGACGCTGCTCCCCAGTCCCTTCCCCTCTTCCCTCATGACTCCCCTAGGCCCCACAGGCCCTGTACACTCCCAGGTCATAGCCTTTGGTGGGGAGGCTTCCCCTGAGAGCTGATCATGTGGTGAGGCTGTGGGGTGAGGGATCAAGATGACCCCCCCTCAGCCAGACAGAAGGTGACAGAAGGCACAAAGTACTTATGAATACAGAGTTCGAGTGACCCTACTTACCCTCCATGACCTCAGAAAGTAGAAAAAGAGCGAGTGTGATTTAGAGAATGTGGAACAGCAAAGTGCACACAGATGCAAAGAGAAGCTGTCCTGAATGCACTTCCACCATGGCCTTCTTGGAAATCTTTGACAGGAACCTCATCCCTGCTTCTTAGTCTTACCTCCCAGATTCCTGGTAGCTTTGGAGCAGTCCTGAAAAAATGCCCCAGTTGGCCAAGGAATAGAGAGAGTGATACCAGATGGGACAGCTAAGTTGGCTAGAGAAGCAATAGGGATGGCTTGAACTGAGGCCTGAACCCTCATCATGGGAATGAGCAGAAAGGTTGGAGGGGGGAAAGAGGGATGGGTAGAAAGGGTGAGACCAGAAGGAGGGGCCAGGTAATACGGTCTCTGTACTACGGTCAGCCTGAACCATGCAAGGCAGCAGGGGCTGAAGTTCAGTCAGTCTCCAAAGTCCCACTTGTTCCAGCCCAGCCCTCTTCTTTCCTCTCAGGCTGTCAACCCATTACCAAAACCCAGTAGTACCCTCAGTATATCAATTTCCTATTGTTTCTATATTTTGGGGATCTGCCTCTTCATAAGTCGACTTCTCTATCACCCATTTCACCAGTGACATGGAGGTAGAAAAACTCAGTGTTCTTCAGTCCCGTCCCGTCCCCACTTGGGCCTGGAGGGAGGTCTAGAACACAACACCTTGCTAACCTTGCAGGGGTCCTGGAGAAATCCCAAGTTTCTTTACCTGAAAGGTGAGAATGTGGGCTAGGTTCTATTGACCCCTCACTCTAGGGAGCCAAGGATCAAGGGAAGGAACTTGGCAGGTACCCCTTGTAAGAACCTGCTGTTAAGGGCAGGGGCAGCCATGCCAGCCCCCTGCCCCTATGTCCCTACCCCAGGCTGTGCCAGGCTTCTTGCCCCCTGCCTGAGGGTTTCTGCAATGGTTGTGCCCCAGCTCCCCCTGCATGCCCGTGGGTTTGATGTGGCGCTCAGAGGCCAGCAGGGCTAGACTGCGCGTCTTGCTGTAATTGGCAAATAAATGTCACCCTGCCAAAGCCTTCTGCCCACCTGCCTCACTCTGTCCCACTGCGCCGCCCCCACTTGGGGCCTGGCCCCTGGGCTCCATTTCAGCCTTCTGGGGAGATAAAATTAAGTGACATTGGGGTGCCCTGGCAGGCAATGGGGTAAGCTCATTTTACTGTACTTAATAGATCAGGGAAGGAAGGCAACAACAGTGGCCTGGGTCCCTAGTAACTCCATCCATCACCCTGACATGGGAATTCGGTGGGTCTATGTTGTGGAGGCCATCCAACACCAAAGCTAGTATTTGAAAAATCCTCTTCCCTCCTTTCCCAAAAGTTTATGGGCATTAGAGATCCAACCTAGTATAGGAAGTGACAGGCTCGTGAGGCAAGGTGGTATGGATAGTTAGACTTCTCTTTATGCAATTTGATAGATGAGAGGATCAGGTCAAAGGACTGGTTTAGGGAGGCTCAGAAAGATTTTTGATGTCATAGCTGCTTCTTCTTTCTGGTTCCTAAATGGAGGCAGCTAGTTGGCACAGTGGATAGAGCACCAGCCCTGAAGTCAGGAGGACCTGAGTTCAAATCCGACCTCAGATCAAACACTTGACACTAGCTGTGTGATCCTGGGCAAGTCACTTAACCCCAATTGCCTTAAAAAAAAAAGCATTTATTAAGCATTTACTATGGGCCAGCCACCATTTTAAACACCAGTGATACAAAGAAAGGCAAATTCAGTTCCTGTCTTCAAGGAGCTCACCTTCTAATGGGGGAGACGACATGTAAATGAGTAGGTACACACAAGATCCTTGCAAAGTAGGAGGAAGGTGGTCTTAGAGGGGAAGGCCTCCTGTAGAAGGTGGGGCTTAAGCTGAGTCTTTTGAAGATAAAAAGTGAAGGTGAGGGTGAATTTTATATCAGGCATGAGGGATAGCCAGTGCAAAGGCACTAAGAAATAGATAGGTATTGAGTTGAAGGAAGAGCAAGTAGTCTATCCACTCTGCTGAATTTGGACTGTGCCAGTTTATGGATTAAGGCAAACTTGGACCAGGGAAGAGGGGAGAACATATAGTTCATAGCAGTGCTGAATTGGGCCAGGAAACATTTGACTCAACCCAGGCAGAGCCCAGGTAAAGTGCCAGGAGGTATTGTTTCTCACACAGAATCCCTGAGCTGATTTGTCTGGTGTGTTTGTTAGGACCCCATCCGGGGTCATGGATTACAAAAATTGGGAAAAAGATAATCTTGGTTTTAGGCTTAATCTCCTGTTAGTTGCCACTCTTTAAAGCTGATATGAGTTTCTTGGGTGCTTAAAACCCCCAGAGGGAAATTGCCACAGCATAACTGAAGCTAGAAGACAGCCTGTAAGGAGCAGGAGCTCATTACAGTATCCTCTGGGAAGTACTGGAAGGTAACTGCCCTGCTCTGGGCATCATTTTCTTCATTAGTGAAATGAGGAAGCTGGATTAGATGATTAAGGTCTCTCCAGGTTCTAAAACCTAAGACCCTTTGAATTATCAGGAATGTGTATTGAAGCTTTAGCATTTATAATTAATAGGCAAATTCTTTGTATCATGGAACCAGCACTTCCCAGAAGCCATTTCCTCTCACTTCCCTTTTTCTTCCTGGAATTGTCGTGTATACCCAACTCTCCCATTCTGCCCTGATGACTTGGGCAAGTAGAGACAACAGGTCTCTGTATCACTGATGGCCTAGCTGTAAACCTGTGCCTCACCAGCCTGAAGAAGGAAGGTCATGATATTCCTACCAGCTGGGATCCGTGTCTGTTTTAGCTGTCTTACATCAAAGAGCCATGCTCTGGGCACGTTGCCTCTCCACTGTCAAGGGGTTAACTAGGTTTTGCTAGGTGTGGGGGCTGCCTGGGCTCAAGCCTTGGATACCTTGGAGCAGGCCTGCACGACCTGTGGCCTGCAGGCTCTACCTCTACATTTTTCTCAGGCTGCCTGAAATCCTTTGGCAGGCTGAAGGTTCTGCAGGCCTGCCTTGGAGGATGGGAGGCAGTTCTGTGGCTTAATTAAAGTGGTTGGTTCTTACAGTCACTGTGAATAAGTTGAAGAATACATAAGGGTGATTCCTTTGGGAATATACAGACTGTATTCACACTTTGGGGGCTGAACCAGTCTAGATTCCCCTACCTAAAGCTGAGGCAGGGGGATTTGAGGGAGAGCCAGAAGGATGGGACAGTAAGGAGAGGGGAAGATTTGCCCAGGACAGGGGAAATCTTTACTGGAGACATAGAGCCAGGGCCTGAGCTCCCTGGACATTGGTCCTGTGACTTGAGATTTCCTACCCTCCTTAGTCAACTATTAAGTCCCTGCTGTGTGTCAGGCAGGCAGCTAGGTGGTGAAATAGAGTGCTGGGCATGGAGTCAGGAAAACCCATCTTCCTGAGTTCAAATTTGGCCTCAGACACTTACTAGCTTATGCTAACTGAGCAATACAAAACATAAACAGGTAAGTAAAAGCAAGAGGGGTCATTGAGGTAGCAGCACTGAGAGAAGAGCACTGGCCTTGGGATTATGAAGACACATCTTCCTAAATTCAAATCTGGCCTAAGACATTTATTAGCTGTGTGATCCTGGGCAAGTCACTTAATCCCATTTGCCTCAGTTTCCAAAATGAGCTGGGGAAGGAAATGGCAAAGCACTGCAGTCTCTTTGCCAAGAAAACACTAAATGGGGTCATGAAGAGTCCACTGAACTGACTGGACAAGTGTCAGGCACCAGGGGTGCAAAGAAAAGGAAGAAACAAACAATTCCTGCTCTCTATGAGCTCATGGCATAATGGGGAAAACCTAGCTTTAAAAAATCTTTAGAAACCTTGAGTCCCAGGCCCTAAGGCTGAGAGGTGCCAGGTTGAGGCCCCTAAGGATTCAGGATACAGAAGCCTGTCAGGTTCAGGGGAAATGGAAGGAAGGAGGGTCGAATCTGGGATGAATCCAAGCATGGCAGAGCCTGTCGAGGCCACCCCTTCGTTTCACAGATGGGAAAACGGAGGCCCTCAGAAGCGGGGTGATTGGCTCAGGTTTTTCTGCCCCAGGTCCATCCAGACCTCTTTCCGCTGGGCCACACTACTGCCCCCCACCCCCAAGGATTTAGTGCCACTTGGAGAGAGCATCTCCTTTCACAGATGGGGAAACTGAGGTCCAGGGAGGGAGAAGGATTTGCCCAAAGGAGGGCAGGGGGAGGGTGGGAGATGGGAGAAGAACCCAGCCCAGTCACTTCGCGGGGACCACAGGCCCTGCCACAGGGGCGCTACAGGTGTCGAAAATGTAGCTGGGGCCGAGGCGGGACACTCCTCCACCTCCCGCCCTCTTCGGCCCGGGGCTAGCCCCGCCCTTCCTCCTCCCCCCGCCCTTCCTCCTCCCCCCCCCCCCCCGCGCGAGCCTCGCGCCGCGCTCATTCAGATCTCGCGCCTCGCTCTTTTTGCGTCACTTCCGCCTCGCTTGGGGAAGCGACTCTGACGGAGCCAAATTTGAAGGGAGAATAGAAGCTCCTGTGTTCACTTGCTGCGGCCCAGCTCTGGAGACCACGGGCCCCGGGTCGCCCTCCCTTGCCCCCAGCCCCTCTTAGGCCCCGGGCCCTGCCGACGGGCTTCCCGTGCAGAGGAGCCGGGGACCGGCATGCCGATCCGCGCGCTCTGCACCATCTGCTCGGACTTCTTCGACCACTCCCGGGATGTGGCCGCCATCCACTGCGGGCACACCTTCCACCTGGAGTGGTGAGTGCGGGGCGGGCCGCGGGGCAGGACCCGGAGATCGCCCCGCCTAACTTCTTTGTCCGAGAGGGGGAAACTGAGGCTGGCCGGATGGGAGAATTAGTAGCAGAGCTGGTGTCCAAATCCAGGCCTCCCGACTCTTCCTTGGGCTTAGAGTTCTCCGAAAAGCAGTGAAAAGACACACGGATGAAGGGTCAGGGGAGCCGGGTGCGAGTCCCAATCCTGCCCCTTGGGAATTCAGAATCAGAGCATAATACTAAAGTGAAAATGAGTGGCTTCTAGGGAGGGAGGGAGGCAGGAACCGTGGCCCGAACCCCTGAACGCTCAGGTTCTGGGCAAGCACTCCTCACCTTTCTCCATCTCTCATGGTGGAATCCCAGCCCTGCTGTTTCCTACCTTGGGTGACTTTGATCATTTCACTTGAAGTTTTGGGCCTGACCCCTCTAAAGTGAGGATATTGAGCTGGTCTCTGAGGGCCTTTCTAACTTTTACCTATGAATTTAGGTCCTTACTATTACATCAGAGGGAACTGTAAGCCGCAGGAAAGTCTTCAGTGTAGCTTGGTGGCCTCTTTTGATTGCTAATGCTAGCTCCCAGAATCCAGGCATCAGCTGAAGCCGCTTGTTAAAGCTCTTGCTGCTGGGTACACATTTGGAGCCACAGTAATAGATATGGTATGAAACTAAGGTATTTTACCACCTGTCCCAGCCCCTCTTTTACTTTGAGTAGATCAGCACCTCGATTTCTGCCTTTGTGTGCGTGTTTTTGTTGTAAGAATACTCCTTCCATCAATCAAATTTCCTTAATTAAAATGTGGCTTTAAGACCAGAGAGAAGCAAGGTGTGTGTGTGTACACACACACACACACACACACACACACACACACACACACAGAGGAGTGGAATTTTAATATATTGATCTGAAAAAGGAGTTTTATTTTTTCGACAGTAGAGATTCCTTTCAGTAGGCTGACTTTGTGCTGTTTAGTTAAGTGAAGAGTTAGAATAGCCTTGAGGTAAAAGATTAGGCAGCAAATTAATACCGGAGCCAGTTGCATTATTTATGTTGATGGACCATACTAAACATCAAATTGGCAACGTAGTAATTACCAGTGAAGTCCTGGAGGACCGTTGGTTTGTTCCTGCTACTTAGAAGCAATACTTATAGTTTGTGCAATATGGGATGGATAGCAGGCAGCAAGATTCTTTTTTTTTTTATGGTTTACACTTTTCATATTTTTTCAGTATGTATTTATTTTGTTAACTGTTTCCCAGTTACATATAAAATAATTTAAACGTTCATTTTTTAACATTTTGAGTTCCAAATTCTCTTCCTCCCTCTTATCTCTGCTCCTTCCTTGAGAAGGCCAGCAATTTGATATCAATTACACATGTGAAGGTATGCAAAACATTTCTATATTAGCCATGTTCAGGCAGCAAGATTCTTAAGCAGTCATTATGAGGCATACTGATCTGGGGCAGTATCAGACCAGGCAGGCAAAAAGCCTTCCAAGAATGGATCTAAGAAGGGTCAAAAAAGCATAACCCAAAGGAATGGGACCTAGCTGTTGATTTCTGAGAAGTGACAGTAAGAAATAACAAAGTGCAGGGCATAGTCAGAAAGGAGCTGGCTCATTTAAGGTAACAGCAGCTCAGGAAGCAGGTAAGCTGGTCCAAGAATGGCAACTAGCCTGTATGTTTTCCTCAGTTACTGGATAGAGATGGAGCCCACCATTTTGTACACATGAATAGCCATGCTTTCCGGACTGTGATATCATTAACTATGAAGAACAAAGAAATACAAATACTAATTTATCATTTTACCTGTTTCAAACCTTTTCCTTGAACAGATCCTTTCAAGAAGGAATCTAGCTTGTCTCAGTCATGGCTACTTCCTGTATAATTTATTAGCTGTCATTGTTTACATTATCTAAGTTATGCTTCAGTTGAAAATTTTTTTAGCTTATCTTATACACATTGCTTTTTTCACCCAAATTAAAACTAATGTAAAATCATAGTAATAAAAATACTTGATTTAGACAGCACTTTACAGTTTACAAAGTTTTCCCAGGATGGCCCTACAAGGTAGAGAATGTAAATACAATGTGTTTTGCAAATGAGGAAACTGATATCCAAAGAAATTAAGTGATTTGTCTAATTACACAGCTGGTAAGTGTCAGCACTGGGATTTGAACATAGGGCCCTCAAACTCCAAAACCAGTACTCTTTTCATCATACCTTACTTGTTTGTTAAACTAAGTAGCTAGGGTTTACATTTTGTTAACCAGTACCAGAAACTATTGCAATTTGTGGGAGGCTGGTAATGATAGGGTAATTAAAGTTCTGGTTAGCCGAAGATTATTCTTTTCTACATGCTTGTAGATAGCTTGCAGAAACCTTTACCCATAACTTTTGTTTAGCACACACTTATAGTGAATGCTGTAGTCCTGGGGCACAAAAAGAAATTGGACTATGGGAGAAATAAGGCTGTGAAATTAAAACATATCCATTTTATCAGCAAAATCATTTCTTTGTACTTTCCATCTGCTTAATATGAAGTGAGAATGACAACTCTAGTGTTTCTCACATCTTTCTTCTGAACTGCAAAGTGTTTGGAGCAGACACTACCTCATTCGTCCTTGCAGCTTTTTTGTATGGGAGAGAGATGACAAGTATAGTTATTCCCATTTTTCAGATTATAGAAACTAGAAATAAAAAATAAAAAGGGAAAAACTGGTAGAGCTCAGATCAGAGTCCAGGTCTCCACCTGCCAGTTAGGGTACACCTTGTCTATATGTTCCAAACTGATTCAAGTTACTAGCTTTGACTAAGGTGGGTCTTGAGTGCAGACTGGGCTGTTCCGCAAGGGGTGAGAGTGTAAGATTGTAGGTTTTGACTTAGTTGGAGGCTTAGAACAGAGCTAGAACCTGCTTTAGCCTTTTTAACAGGTTGCTTGCAGTTGATTGCTCCTTATTGTCTATCAAGTGAAAATGCCACTCCTTAGCTTGGCATTCAAGGCTCTCCACAACTTGGTTCCAGCCAACCTCTTGAACTTGATTCTAATACTACTTGCTTGAGATGCAGCCAAACCAGAAAATTCATCAATCTTCAAGTACCTTTCACTACCCTTGTGACTTGGCTCACATAGTTGCCTATGCTTTGAATGTGCTACATAGTAGCAGGCTCAAAATATAATTCATCCAATTAATAAGCATTTATTAAATGCCTCTTCTGTGTGCCAGGCATTGTGTCCTATAGGTATTAGGCATACAGATGCAAAAGTGAGAAAGTTCCTATCCTCAGATAGCATCTATCAGAGGTATCCCCTGTCCTCAAGGGGCTAACATTCTACTAGGGGTTCAGGAAAGGTCTCTTGAAGGGAGTGGCATTTGAATTGAGCTTTGAAGGGATCCAGGAGTTCCAGGAGGCAGAGCATTCCAGATTAGCAGATCAGCTTGTGCAGAGGAACAGAGGCAAGAGACTGAATGTCTCAAGCAAGGTCAGTTTGACTGGAGTATAAAATGAGGGAGGGAGAGGACTGTGCTAGTACAGTCTAGAACATGAGCTGAAGTCAGCTTATGCAGGACTTTAAATGCCAAACAGAGGATTTTGTGTTTTAATATAAAGACAGTGGGGAGCCACTGAAACTTAAGTCTGATATTCCTAAAACACATCTGACCATGTCATGCTGAAGGAGTAACATGGTCATATATGTCAGGAATATCAGTCTGGCAGCTGGTGAAAGATGAGTTAGAGAGGGAAGAGATTAAATATAGGAAAACCAGCTAGGATTTTTTAATTGTTTAAGCAACATGTGATTGGTTTTGCTAAAAATAGACATGAGAGGACAGATAGAGACTGAGATATATAAATCAATTGGGAGGTATGGTGAGGAAGTAGAATCGAGATATGATTTGCAGTTGATTGGATGCAGGGAGGTAAGAGTGAAGAGTTTAAGATGACTTTAGGTTGTGAACCTTGTTGACTGGAGAGATGGTGATGCCCTCTGCAGAAATAGGGAATTTAGGAGGGAGGTGGGCTTAGGGGACAAGATAATGAATTCTGTTTTAGACACGTTGAATTTTAAATGCCCGTGGGATATCCAGGTGGAGATGCTAGGCAAGCAATCGGAGATCTGAGCCTGAAGCTTAGGAGAATGATTGAGGGCAGGATCTATAGACTTAGTCATCTGCATGGAAATTATAGTTAAATCATTGGGAGCTGATGACATTACCTGAAGAGAGAAGAAGAGAAAGTCCAGGACAGAGCTCTGAGTTGGGATACTCATGCAGAAGGAGCAGCATGTAGAGGATGATGCGTAAAAGGAGACTGAGAAAGAGAATCATAACAAAGAAGTATCATGACAACTCAGAAGAAAATATCCAGAAGGAGGGGTTGGTTAGTAGTGTCAGAGGAGTTAGAGGTAAAGAAAAACGAGGACTGACTGAGAAAAGGGCTTTGGACTTAACAAAAAAGAAATCTTTTGTGACCCAACAGAGATCACTTTCTATTGAGTGGTAGCGACAGAAAGCATAATAACAACAATGATGACAACTGCTAGCATTGATATAGTGCTTTAAAGTTTGCGAAGTACTTTAAAAATATTGTCTTGTTTTATCCTCATAGCAACCCTGGAAGGTAAGTGCTATTATTGTCTCCATTTTACTGGTGAGGAAACTGAGGCAGAGATTAAATGACTTGTCCAGGATCACAGAACTAGTAAGTGTCTGAGGCAGGATTTGGACTCAGGTCTTCCTGATTTCCAGTTCCTGCATTCTACCATTGTGCCACCTAATTACTTTAACAAGTGAGTGAGAGGTAAGAAAGTAAAGACAATGGAAGTTGAGATATAGGATTATAATGTGAAGGTTTTTTTAAGGATGGGGGAGATCTGGGCATTTTTGAAGGAAACATTATTGATATGGAGCAGTTGAAAATGAGAAGAGATGCAGTGATCCAGGATGCAAGGTGTCAAAGGAGAGAAGAGGGGATTAAGGACACAAGGAGGGGGATTGGGAATACCAAAAAGGATGATTTTTTTTGATGGATGAATAAATCTCCACTTGTTGAAATCCTTCCCATTTTTCAAGGTCTGCCTTAAGTACCATCTCTTCATGAAGTCTTCCCTGATTATTATCACCCTGCTCCAAACCAGTAGCAATTTCCTCTTACTCAGTTCTTTTGTAACACTATGGTTTTTTTTTCTGTGTGCTTATTATATTCTAATTAATGTAATGGCTTTTTATAATTACACCACAGGCAGCATGATATAGTGACTGGAGTACTGGACTTGGTCAGACAAAGCTTTGAATCCTGCTTCAGGCACCTATTAGTTGTGTGATCATGGGCAAGTTTGCGTAACTTTTCAGAGCCTTAGTTTTTCCCTTTGTAAAATGGAGGTGATATTTGTTTTTGTTGCTTTGCAGACTTTTAAATTTTTTTTTAGTATTTTATTTTTCCCCAATTACTTGTAAAAACAACTTTTAACCTTCATTTTTTACAATTTTGAATTCCAAATTCTTTCCTATCCTCCCTCCCCCATCATCGAGAGAAGGCAAGCCATTTGATAAAGGTTATATATGTACAGTCATGCAAAACGTATTTCCATATTAGTCATTTTGAAAGAAAACAAAAAGAAACAAGAAAAATAAAGAAAATTTTTTAAAAAGTGTGATTCAATCTGTATTCAAATTCTGTCAGTTCTTTGTCTGGAGGTGGATAACATTTTTCATCATATGTCCTTCAGAATCATCTTGGACCTTTGTATTGCTGGGAATAGCTAAGTCATTCACAGTTGATCATTGTACAATAGAGTTGTTACTGTATACAGTGTTCTCCTGGTTCTGCTCATTTCACTTTGCATCAGTCCATGTAAGTCTTTCCAGGTTTTTCTGAAAGTCTCCCCTTCATTATTTCTTACAACACAACAGTACTGCATCACAATCTAAACCACAACTTGTTCAGCCATTCCCCGATTGGTGGGCATCCCCTCAATTTCCAATTCTTTGCCATCACAAAAGGAGCTGCTATAAATATTTTTGTACATATAAGTCCTTTTCCTTGTTTGTTTGTTTGTTTGTTTTTAACCTCTTTGGGATACAGACTTAGTAGTATATGGACAGTTTTATAGCCCTTTGGTCATAGTTCAAAGTTGCTCTCCAGAATGGTTGGATCAGTTTACAACTCCACCAACGACAGTACCTTGCAGACTTGAGAATAGTAAATTGCAGGCTTACAGTACTGTACAAATTGAGGAGTTATTTGTAATCTTATTTTATCATTCCTATTAAACTGTAAGTACTATATGGGAAGAAAATCATAATATAGTAAGAAAAGCACCAGATCTGGAATCAGGAGTACATCCTAGCTATGCTGTGTACTATGTACTATTTGCTGTCTTAGTGTCCGTGAGCAAATCACTTAACCACTCTGGGTTTTTTTTCCTCATGTGTAAAGGGAGAGGATTTGACTGGATGATTCCAAAGGTCCCTGCTGGCTTAGGAATATAGGAGTTTATCTATCCTGTCTTAAATCCTCAGTGTAGTCCTTTATACTCAGGAAATGCTCAGTCTGTATTTCATGGACTTCCCAAAGCAGTTAGTGCAAATATCTGAACTTTTTGCTAAGCAATATCTAAAAATGTCCATTTTGTCATTTCTCTCTTTTTCAGCCTCATTAGATGGTTTGACACTGCTCCAAGTCGTACATGTCCACAATGTCGGATCCAGGTAAACTACTATTTCTAGAGGTAGTGTCAGTGGTAGGAGTGCCTTGATGAAAGATTGCCTTTCCTTATTGAAGTGATTAAACGAGAAGAGCTCTTGGGGAAATGTTAAGCTTGGCTCTAGCCACTCACTGCAGCTTCGTTTGGGCATCCTCATCCTGTGTAAAGTTTGGAGGAGGTGCCAGATGGCACCACAGGGTTCTTCAAGCAGATGCTGGATGACCATCTGAGTTTGTTATTGGGAAGGTTCCTTTTGGTTATGAGTCAAACAAGATGACTGCTGAAGCCCCTTCTGACTCTTAAAATTTTATGTTTCTGTGAGATGCCTTCATTCATCAAGATCAGTGATAGTTTATTTTTCCAAGAAAACTGGTCTCGATCCTTTTCCTGATTTCCTGAAGGTCCAATGCCTTTGGCTGCTTTGTTTTCATTGAGTTAGCCATGGAATAGTGGGATTTTTAGGAGTGGGAGCTACCATTCAATTAAATAGTGTCATAACTTTAGAGAACACAAAGTTGTTGCCACCTGGGTTTTCTAAGGGCATGTGGGGCACTTGGAAGCTATCCATTTTAGCTAAAGTGCACCTGATGGTGGGACAGCTAGATGGCGCAGTGGATAGAGCTCTGGCCTTGGAGTCAGGAGGACTTGAGTTCAAATGTGACCTCAGACGCATAACACTTGCTAGCTGCGTGACCCTGGGCAAGTCACTTAACCCCAATTGCCTCACCAAAAAATAAAAGTACACCTGATGTTCTGAGAGAAACCTGACCCTAATTGCTTCCTTTAGAAGAGGAGCAAAGTGCCATTTCTAGTATAATACAAGTGTTCTGAGGGTGGAAAGAGAAAGGGATTTGCTTCATATCAGGCAGGCAGCAGTCAAATCTTGATATTTCATTCCCTCCCCTTTTCCCTTTATACCAGCTTCTTGGTCTGTACACTGATGATGAGTCTCTTTTCCCTATTCTGTTTTCCCATCTAGGTTGGCAAAAGATCCATTATCAATAAGCTGTTCTTTGACCTTGCTCAGGAAGAGGAAACAGGCTTAGATGCGGAGACCTTAAAGGTATGTGGGAGCAAATAAAGATTCACAGTTTTGTATGCAATCGTCTTTTCCTGTTCCTTTTTATATATTGAAATGTTCATGTTAAATGTTTACTAAGTAAACAATTAATGAATTTTTTAAAAAATTTAAGGTATGCAGGACCATTATGCAGGGGAAATGTTCTTTAACTTTGTTATTCAGTAGAACCCTTATGCCATTTTGTGTCTGCCCATGAAGAAAGGTCAGGGTTCTCATGTTGTTGGAAAAGAAAGAGCAGTAATAATAACTGGGCTTTTGCCATTGGAGGTCGAAGCAAAGGAGAGATATAAAGTAATAATATGGTTAGGGGGCAGAGATGCAGAAGCAAGGTAACCATGGGATTTAGAACTGTGAAGGCCCTTCAGGCAAGTCCTTTTATAAATAAGGACAAGGAGGCTACAAAGATTGTGTCAAAGTTGGGATTTGAACCCAGAGCCCCCATTTGCTCCTCAGTGTATGCCTCACCTCATTTTTACCGTTTTCATGTGTGTGACATAATGGAAAGAGCAGTGGATTTAGAGTCAGTCTGCTCTTACCTGCAGTCCCCGTGAAATTCCTGCATAATTCCCAGCTTGAAAAACACTAATGTAGTGTCCCCATTCCTGGACACTTAATACTTGCAGTGGTATTTAGCACTGAAAGCCACATTGCTATATTAGTAAGCCTTTTTACTTGTAGATTTCCTAACTGGGAAGCTCAAAGCCCTTCTTGGATGTTCTTTCACTTTGCTTGTGAACTGACTTAATTCTGCCAGCTTCATTTTGTAGCTAGGGAAATTGAGCGCAGAATATTCAGTAGAAATAATTGAAATCCTTTACTCTTGAAGTTACGAATGACTAGGCCTTTGGCTTTGGGGTGTCATGTAGTCTTCCACAGCTGGCTCCGTTTGGATTCTTTCTGTTAGCTTTTTGGATGTGAAGTGGCTAGAATCATAGGGCTCCCTAAATAAAGCTGTGTTAGGACTGACAAGTAATTGCTGGGTTTTAAGGGTTAATTTTGCTAGGCATTGAATTGTTCCACCTTCCTGCTGGTAGCTTAGTGACACATTTGCTTCCTTTGAGCCTTGAGTTAGCTGGAGTTCAAATAATAGGATTCTTGTACCCTCTTCTGCTTCAAACCAGTGTGCTCAGCCATTACCATCACTTCCATTGTCATGGCAACAGCTCCATTTTTAAATGGTCTAGCCCCTGTAATGACGGCAACAATGACATCTTCTAATACCTTCTTGCTTAAAATATATAAATTGAGAGTAGGGGAGGAGGTCAGTATCTTTGGGGCTAAAAGAATGATTTTAAGTAAGTGCTTAGTAAAGCTTGCACCAAAATATGAAAGGGATTAGAGTGACCTTGAGGTTTTGTTTGATTCATTTGGCTGGTGTTTTTCCCTAGTTAACTGCTAGAGAGTATCCTTCATTCCTCAAATATCCACTCTACCCAAACTCACCTTTGTCTGACCAGTAAGTATTTGGAGGGCTAAAGCTAATAAGAAAGTTCCAGGTAGATCCCAGGAAGCAGGACTCTATCTGTATCAGGGTTACAGAATTCAAGATGGACTTAAAGCAAGACGTAAGCTAGCTAGTTTGTCTCTTTTTTAGAATGCATATTCTGAACTTTAGTTTCATCATCTTCTACCACAGTTGTCCTCTAATACCTCCTTATGATGTGGAGGTGACCCTAGATTTGCTAGAACACAAGCTTTGATAGAACCTGCCAAACTGGAAGGGCTTCAGGTATAGGCCTAGCAGTGAATTATTATCTAAGAACCAGCCTATCTAGGTTTATAGAGATGTCTTGACAGGTTTGCCACAATGTGATGAATTTTTTTTTAGGCACAGCAAGTAATGAAGATGGTCTACTAAGACGTGGAAATTTTATATGTAGTCTGCATCAATCAAGGGAATATTCACCCTAATGAAATCTTTTTAGGTATTAAAATAAATTTTTGTGTGAGAACAGTGTTCTGCAGACTAGAATTAGAATGCATCCTTGTATTATCAATGAAGACTTAGCTATATCCCTCATGTCTCCAGTACCTTTGGTTTTATCTTTATCAAATAAGAAATCTCTCTTAAATTCAGACAGTACTATTTAATTAGAAATAGTGTGGAAAGTATTTGTGATGCCCTTAGACTTCTGACCACATGTGTTTCCTTGCAGAATGAACTGGATAAGACTAGAGCCCAGCTATCCTTAAAAGGTGAGTTATAGAAAGTTATGCCTACTCCCTCCAGACAGCTGAGAAATTTCCCAAAAGAAGCAAACAAACTCTACTTAGAAATGGAGGGGAGTCCCAAGTAAGCCTTCATTTAGGAATTAATTCTAAGCCAGTCCTCCTCCCATGTGTCTGAGTGTATTCAGCCTGCCCAGCTCTTAATATAAATACAGAGGGCATGATTGAGACCATCACAGTGGGCTTGTGCAGCTCTTTAGCCACTGACTTGTTGCCTCCTGGTCATTGGCTGATTTGTATAGAATGGATCAGAATGTGAAGGAGAGGGCTACAGTCTGGGTTGTACTGGTCACATGTGGCTCTTAAAAGAGGGAGATCCCTGGAACATGAAGCAAAACCCTGGGGATTTGGGAAGATGGGTCCTGGGGGCAGCTTATCTACAGAGTATGAGTCACAAAGAACAGAATGAGTTTTGTCATTAAGCCTGAGTGCCAAGGTCCCTGGCCTAGAACATGCTAAGGAGAAGGAAGCTCAAAGGGGAGCAGAGCTAACTTGTTTACTAGTTTGAAAAGGTTTTGGAACCTTCCCCTAGTTTCTTATGGGGCTGATGGTGTTTAAGTAGGGAGAACTGCACTTCTCCTCATTTGAAGTAGCCTATGGAGTAGAAGCTAGTGCTCCTAGCCTTTCTGGAGCAAATAAGAGCCTCTCCTAGGAAAATCAGTAGTGCAAACTCTCTCATTGGCTTTTTAGTTTGCCCCTTAATCTGTTGACCCCTACCTACCCACCCACACACACACACACACACACACACCACACACACACACACACACGCTCTCTTGCTCTTTCTTTCTGTCTTTTCATCTGGCAGTTGGTTGAAGGGTACAAGCAGGACACTAGGGTTAGGAATCTGTATTGTGCTGATTTGAATGTCTCCCTCCAGTAAAAGAGAAGAAAGATTGCCAGTCCATCATTGACTCTTTGCGAGAAGTACTAGATGTGCGCAATGTTACCATAGAGTCACTGCAGAAGGCCCTGGGTGAGTCAGAAATGCTGTGTTCAACCTTCAAGGTAAGTCCTTTGGGGATCTGTGTGCTTCAAATTTATAGCTCTCATTCTTCTACAGACAGTAATTCTCTATGTCACTGAAAATATTTTCTGGTGGTAAAGGACATGGGACTAGGAACTCCCATTCTTGAGGTTCTCCACTATCTCTGCTTTTGTTTCCCCATGTGTAAATTGGAGACAGATCCCTGCCCTTTGTTAGCCCCTGTAGGGGAGGTGTTATTAAACTATGAACTTTTTAAAAAAAATTTTATAATTGTATTTCAATATAATTAATTTCCTTTACAATCCTACACATTTCATTTTATGCGTTTAAAAAGACTATTCTGAGAACAGGTCCCATAAGTTTCACTGGACTGCCTAAGGGGTCCGTGACACAAGAGGTTAAGAACTCCCACTCTAGGACTTGAGGAAGTGAATATGTAGCCTGCTTTGAGCAATCTACCTTGTTAGATGGATAAATCAAATTATAAAATGACCCAGAGTACAACTAAATTCGAGCCCCTTTGGGACCTTTATAGGCCCATGAAGGCCACTGTGGCAGCCAATTTTACATATTGACTTTGAAGACTGCACAGCAGCTCAGAAAAGCTTTTCTGGCTCCTTCCAGCCATAGGCACTTGCAAGACAAGAACTAATAGACCAGGGTGAACTGAGCCCTTTATGCCTGAGATAGGCCCAGGCCAGCTTCAAGAAGGCAGCTGATGAGACAGGCCTCAGGAAGCCTCCCATTAGTGCTTCAGCCTTCGGCCGAACTGCTCTCTGGAGCCAGATCAAACAGCATCCCAGGGAAGAGCAGGGGACTTTGAAGTTGAATGTGCTCAACTGACCGGGAAGATCAAAGCAAGCGGCCCCCAAACCCAAATGAATATTGTATCAGCATGGGCCTGTTGGCCTCTTTCCCTCCTCAGCCCCCTGCCCTCCCCAAGGGGGAATGAAGTGATTGATCTGAACTGGAGATTGATATTCTAGCTGCAAAAGAAGCAGCAGCCCCATGTGATGTGCTGTTTGAAAGGCAGCTGTCGTTCTGCTGGAGGTCAGACTGCGGGGTTTTTGTTGTTTCTTCAGTTCGGTTTTAGGGAGCTGGGTGAAGAAGGGAAGCAAGGGAAGGAAGATTTAGGAGTTGGCTCAGGCATCAAGATTAGTGTGGAAGCTGGGGATGAGTGTGGGAAGAAGAGAATATCTTGAAAGGGAGGAATCTGTTCATTATATTTCTAGAAATTCCTTAGGTGAAGGGCTGACTCTCACAGGGCAGTACACTGGGAACCAACATGCTGATATGAGGGAAGATAAATAGAGAGCTGCCTCCTGAGTCTAAGCAAGAACCAAACCAAGTTTGCCTTAAAATGATAAGCACAAACTAATGGTGGATGACAGAGGCCCTTGTTCATCATCATTGTCTTTCTGTACAAAGTCCTACTCTAATGCTTCATCATGGTGTGGAGGTGACTCTGGATTCTCAAGGGCTATACTGGGGAAAAGTACAAACTCAGATGCTTGAAAGGCTTTGAGTAAGGTTCTGGCAACAAATGATATCTGCTTTCTAAGGACAAAGTACAGAGAGCTCGTCTCCAGTGACTGCCCACTTGAGAATTAATTCTTTGGCCAAGACAGTCCATAAACAGGACTGTGCAACCTCGTTCTATTTTTGCAGTGGAAGAAAAGGGGATAGAAGATACAAAGAATTACAGAAGTTTACATTTATAAACATTAAATTTGTTGTCTTGGTCCTCTAAATGTGAGAGCCGACTTGTCCAGTGACCTAGTAGACATAGTACTGGAGGAAACAAATTGTATCAGTGTTGACATTCTTGTAATAAATCAAACAACAGGACAAAGGAAGATATAGTTGAGTGAAAAGAGTTGACCATAGGTTTGATGGATTTGGTTTCATTATGTATTAAAAAGCAGCAAGAAACATTGTCATTTCATAGGACATTGGCTAATTGCTGCTTGTTTGCTAACATATTGTAGAAGACAAGAAAGTAGAGAAATTCTCTTTGAAATTGAAGAACTCAATAAGCCATTCTAAATTAAATCGATATGTAATGTAATTCCCCAGATGCTGGGTCTCCTCCTGTGTTGCTGTCATATCCATAACCTCATAGACACCTTTACTTTTTAATTTCTTTTTTATTGTGACAAGTGACATTTCAAGGTACAAAGAACAAAAAGGATTGTATATGAACCTGCACTGGTATTACATACTGCTTGGGTTTTTTAAGTGAACACTAAATTTAATGTGATACTTATAAAACTACTCTTCTTGTCTGTATTCCCTTTTGAACTTCTTTCTTGCTCTGTTCTGTGCATTTTTTAGTATTTTACTGATGCTTTTTTCCTTCACTTGTTTTCTTCAAAACTCAAGTACCATCTTCTTCATGAAACTTTTCCTGATTTCCCCCAGCTGCTGGAGCAATTCTCTCCAAAAATTACCTTGTATTTTATAACACTTGTACATGTTGTCTAAGCTCCTTGGGGACAGGAACTGTTTCATTTTATGGCCTTGTATTCCCAGCACCTTGCACAGAGCCTGGAATATAGTAGGAGTTTAATAAATGCTTATTGATTGATATCTTATAGCTTGGTTGCAGACAGATTTCTGCCAATCAGTAGGTAACAATCATCCACAGTTGGCTTATTATTTGTGTCTCATCTGTAAAATACCCTAGGGACAGGGAGATGATGGTCTGCTTTTCAGATAGGAAAAACAGATACCAGGAGAAGAAGTGACTTGACCCATTGTCATTCAGCCAGTGTAGTGCAGAGTCAGAGTTGAACTTGAAATGAATGGTTGCTAGGTGCATTCCTCATGTTTTCTGAGGCTTCTGACTTGTAGAAGAAACCCATCCTGTGAGTGGTAATCTTTAGGAATCCACTTAAGCAACAATTTGTTTTTCTTCCCAGAAACAGATTAAGTACTTGGAGCAGCAGCAGGATGAGACCAAGAGTATGAAAGAGGAGGCATGCCGCCTGAGGAACAAAATGAAGAGCATGGAACGGTGAGCTTGGGGCTCAAGGACTAAGTCATTCTCACAGAGGCCCTTGATTAACAAAGGCTGTGACAGTTCACCCCCTTCTCTTTCCAACTCTTATTCCTTTCCCACCTATGAGGAAGAGAGTTAGGAAATGTTTCCCACAAAAGCTTTCTCTTCTGTCATAGCTCTCAAGAATGGCAAGGGAGCTGATTCACATTTTTCTTTTTGGTTCTATTTTTCATAGCTCTGAGAAAGGGAGGACAGGAGAATAGTCCTGTTTAATGTGAGTATTAAGGACTTCATTGCAGGGGACTTTTTTGACTTTGAAGGCCAGTGAGATCCTCCAGTATAAGAATTTAACTGTGCAGTTCACATTGACTAAGCATTTATTATGTCCTGAGCACTATGCCAGCAGCTGGTGAGACACAAAGTTTAGATAAGATTCAGTCAGTGCATTTCTGGAGCTTAGAGTGGTAGGGGAATATGCCCTATACACAAATAATTATGATATAAAATAATGTATGATGAGTACTTCAGATGGAGTTAAATGTAATATGAGGTTGGGGGCAAGGTCATTACTTAGTGTCACGTTAAGCTAGGTTTTAAAGGATGAGTGGGGAGAGAGAAGCATCCTGAGCATTAGGATTGATATGAATAAAGAGCAAAGGCACTGAGGGAGGAAAATAAGTGGTCTACTTGGGAGAACAAGCTGAACAATATGGGAAGGGGAATAAGTAAGATGTGGCTGGAAAAGTTTGGGTTTCATGTGTTAGCCTTCAGTGCTTGGGCTGCAGGAAGTTAGTGAATAGTTTGGCTGGAAGAGTAACACGTCAGCTCTATGTGCACGGAAAATTAGTCTAGCAGCAATATGAAAGGATTGGAGGGGGGAAGAAAATAGAAAAAAGAAGACCCCCTTAGTTAATCTTAAAATCTAGATACGTTGTATTGTGGGCCTGAATTAGGGTGATTGCTGTGGGAATAGTGAATAGGAGATGGATGTGCGGGAATGTTGTAGAGATAAAAAATAGCAAAGCAAGATTTCTTAACCTGGGATCCATGAACTTGTGGATGGCTTTGTTTTTTAAATGTGTTTCTGGTAAGCAACAGATTGAAGGGTTTTGTTTTCTTATCCCTTCTGTCACTCTTTTTGTTTTATTGGATGGTTTAATCCATTCTCATTTAAAGTTATGAGTTAGGTTTATGTTTCCCTCTGTGTCTTAAAATTGAGGGTTTTTTTTCTTTCAAATTATGATTTTCCCTCTCTTTTGCTGTAAACACAGTAGTATGTACCTTTGATTATTTTACTTTTTTTAAGGCAGCCCTGTTCCCATTGGCTTCCATCCCCTCCCCCCAAATCCCCTCTTCTTGTTTGTTACGCTTTTCCCTTTAGGGTTTTGTTTATTTGTTCCTTTTTCTCTCCTACTTTAATCTAGTTATATATTATTTCCCCCTCTTTTTTCCTCTCAGTCAAATACATTCCTCATCCCTCTCCTCCCCTTCAGCTAGTCTTGTTCATTAATTTTTAAATTTCATTTTTTTGAGTCCTTTCCAAAAAGAATTTCTCTCACTCTTCATTATCCACCTTATCTTTCTGTTTACTTTAGATCCTTATTCTCCTCTGATTCATGACCCCTTTAATCATCTAGTCTCTCTCTTTTCTCAGTATTCTTTATACAATCAAAGCTTCTAAAGTGTCCATTCTAGGCTCTGCTACTGCCTTGTAGTATTTACCCCATGGAATTCTCCTTTCTGTTGTGCCTCTCTCTCAGAGTAATGCCAGTTATTGCCGATGTCATAGAGGACACACTGCCCCATAATCGGGCCCTTCTCACATGCCCCGTCCCCACCCTGCCGATCTTTCCCTCTCGTTGACCTTTTTTATTTTTCCTACATTTGCCTTGAAACCTCCCTGTGTCCATGCTCTCCCATTTCTCTGGTGCCATTTGCCCCCCAAGAGTCCCACCCCCTAACCCCCCAGGACAAGTAGACTTTTCAGGTACCAAATACCCCAGGCCTGATCCATTTCCCTGCACTTCCCATGCAGCATTTATCAGTGGAACCTTCTCCCACCTCCAAAGTAAAACCTCCTTTTCCCTCTTCTCAGTTTTCCCCCCCTACTCCTCACCCATTCCCCTATAGACTCTTCTCTTTCTGAAGCCAAAGAAGTTATCTTCCCCTTATTGCTAGCCTTTGATTTGACTCTGGTGCATCACTCACTCCTCTCTATCTCCCTAGTTCCTTCCCCCCTTTCATATACCCTCATATATTGTAATGTAGTACACAAAAGATGTATTCACCTGTAGGCAGTTTCACTAGGTTCTGTCCATAATGTTGTCCCCTGTGCACCTCTTCACTGTTACTTCTGCCAGATTTACACCTTCACCCCTGTTTCCTAGTAAACCTTTGGAAAGGGGTCTCATGTGTGTCTTTGTTGCTGTTGCTATTTGCATTTATTCACTCATGCATTTTTGTTGTTTTGGGTGTTTAAGAAGAAAATAATCTCTTCAGTTCTGGTTTTCTTTCTAAAAATGTTTCAAATTCTTCTTTATTATTAAACATCCGTCTTTTGTTCTATATGTTTTAGCTCAGATTTGAAGGATAGGTCACCTTGGACCACATCCTGATCTGCCATGGTCTTTAGAACACAATATTCTATTCCCTCCTCCTTTTTTCTAGTGGGTACAGAAGTCTTATGTTATTCAGATGTCCTTTCCTTTGTGTTCGAAGGTCTTTCTACTGATGGTTTGCAGGACTTATTTCTGAATTCTCTTGTTAACCACTATGTGTCTTGGAATTTGCAGCCTTTTTTTTTTTCCCCCTGGAGGCAAAGTATGAATTCTTTCAATTGGGATTTCATTTTTCTGTGTTCAGAAGTTCTGGGCTTTTCTCTTCTATTATTTCCTTCACTGTGGTGTTGAGGTCTTTTGTCCTGTAAAGTTCTGGGAGACCTGTGATATCTTTAGGTTTTCTCTATGAATCCTGTCTCTGAGATCCATGTTTTGCTTGCATAGTGAACTTTTTTTCTTTTAATGTTTGTGGTTTTTGCTTCTCTTTCTAGGTTATTCTTCACTTTTGTGTATTTACATTCCCAATCTATCGTTCTCTCTTTTGTTCTTTACTGAGGCTTGCCATCATCGATTCTAGTTTTTCTGTTCTGCCCTTTGTTTTTATAGGACATAAATTCTTCTCTCATGATTCTATTTCTCTTTTAAACTACTCAGGAACAGCATGTTGTGGTTCCATGTTCTCCTCAAATCCCACAGGGTCCTCCTCTGTCTCATCAAGTGTTGGATCGTTTTCCTTTATTTTGCAGTATTTATTCATAGATGCCTGAACTTGTTTACTAGCTCTAGAAACCACATTTCCTTCTGTTACTGTTTTTCCTGTTGATTAATCTGTGTATGTTCAAGGTCTTTGAGATTCCTTCTTCCTGAAATTTTTGATATTTTCAATCTCTAACCCTTTTCCCCTTCTTTTTGTTATCACCCACTTCTTGACCCCTCTGATAGTGGTTTTCTTTGGGGTTGGATCTCTAAGTGTCTTAGCCTTCTCCCATCCTGGGCATTTCAGGGTTCACAAGCCTAGATCTCTGCCTCCAGCCGACTGGCCCCAGCTGGATACTGTGCTCTTCCCCCAGGCGTGGTGGAGTGCTGCACCACTCCCCACATGCAGGTTCTCCTGCCCTGGTAGTCTGTCCTATTCACCTGTCCTACTCCTAGCCCTGGCAATTCAGAGCTTTGCAGCGCTGGCACTTTGCTTCTAAAGGGTAGTGTGGTCAAGCTGACTGTCCAGCGTGCAACCTGGAGCCAAGATCTCTATGGCACTGGAAAGAGGGAGGGAAGACTGCAATGCAGGGGTGGATTTTGGTGTAAGCCTGTGTTATATCCTTGAGTCTGCTAATGCACCCTGGCATGGGAGGTGGCAGAGGGTGCTGAATGAGCTCGGGTCAATGAGCATCAGTTCCTGGGTTTTGTTTTTGTTTTTAACCTTCTTTTGGATACTGGGTGTCCTAGATCATGTAAACAGCTGAAGTTACTTTATCTTTGCTGCATAATTTCTGTTTTGGAGAGGTTTGAGAGGTCATAAGGATCAGAGAAATTGTCTTGTCTGCCGTCTTGTTGTTCACATGATCCAGAAGTCTCCGTGAACTTTTTTTTTGGGGGGGGGAGACAGTCAGGGTTGTGACTTGCCCAGGGTCACACAGCTAGTAAGTGTCTCAGGCTGGATTTCAACTCAGAACCTCCTGACTCCAGGGCCAGTGCTCTATCTACTGTGCCACCTAGCTGCCCTTCCGTAAATTTGTTTTTAAAATATTTTTGATAACCATATTTCAGTATAATTGGTTTTCTTTGTAGTCCTATCATTTTCGTTTATTTAAAAACATTTTGATGAAGTAAAGCTACCTATAGCCATATGAAAAATGCTCTAACTCACTATTGATTGGAGAAATGCAAATTAAAGCAGTTCTGAGGTACTACTTCATACCTATTAGATTTGGCTAATGTGACAGAAAAGGAAAATGACAAATGGTGGGGAGGGGGATGGCTCTTTAATGCACTATTGGTGGAGTTGTGAACTGATTCAACCATTCTGTAGAGCAATTTGGAACTATGCCCAAAGGCTATAAAACCATGCATACACTTTGACCTAGCAACACCACTGCTAGATCTGTATCCTAAAAGAGATTAAAAAAACAACAACAAAGAAAAGGACCTGTATATACAAAAAGTATTTACAGCAGCTCTTTTCTGGGGCAAAGAGTTGGAAATTGAGGGGATGCCTATCAGTTGGGGAATGGCTGAACAAATTGTGGTATGTGATTGTGATGGAATCCAGTTGTGCTATAGGAAATGATGAGTGGGATGCTCTTGGAAAAGGCTGGGGAGACTTGCATGAGCTGATGCAAAGTGAAATGTACTGTGTACAAAGTAACAGCAATATTGTAAGATGATCAGCTGTGAATGATTATCTATTCTTAGCAATACAATGATCCAAGACAACTATGAAGGACTTATGATGAAAAATGTTATCTGTCCTCTGAGAAAGAACTGATGGTTTCTGAATATAGATTGAAGCATACTTTTTTTACTTTCTTTACTTTTCTTGAGGTTTGGGGCTTTTGGGGGACTTTTTTGTTTGTTTTCTCTCACAACATGACTATAATGGAAATGTTTTGCATGGCTACACATGTGTAACCTATATCAAATTACTTGCCTTCTCAATGAAAGGGGTGGGGAGGGAGGAAGGGAAAGAATTTGGAACTGTTTTAAAAATGAATGTTAAAAATTGTTTTTACATGTAATTAGGGGAAAAATAAAATACTATATTTAAAAAACCATTCTGAATAGGAATCCATAGGCTTCACAAGACTGCCGGGTTGGTTGGGCACACAAAAAAGGTTAAAAACCTCTGTAATAGGTTCATATGTAATACTAATAACATATGAAATGTGGAGGAGAAGAAGGTACCAAAGGTAAACCAAGATTTTCAACATGAGAGACGTGGATGAATGGTGATGTCACCGAGAGATATAGCCAGAAGGCAGGAACGAATTTAGGAGGAATAATCAAGTCAATTTTAGACATTTGAGTTTGAGGTGCTGATGAGATATCAGTGTCCTTTTAGGCAGTGGGAGTAGAGTCTGATGTTTGAGAAAGAGGTCAAAGCTGGAGACAGAGATTTGGGATCTACATTAGAGGTGCTACCTTAAACTAGGGGAACAAATGAAATTGTAGTGGGAGAAATTGTAGCTTCAGAAGAGGAGGACCAAGAAAAAACTTCTAGATACTTATTTGGAAGAAGGTTCAGCAAAGGAAGCCAAGTGAGCAGCTTGAGAAAAGCCACTGAAAGAGGAAAACCAGAACGGCATGAGGTCTGTGAAGCCCAAGAGTATCCTTGGGGGGAGGTGGCCAGTAGTGTTAAATAGGCTTCATTGAGATCATGGACTTGGCAAAAGCTATGGATATGGTGATTATGGTTAGGAAGTTATTGGTGACCTTTGGAGAGGAGTTTCAGTGAGGTAGTGAAAATGGAAGCTGAGGGCAGCTAAGTGGAACAGTGGATAGAGCACCCGCCCTGGATTCAGGAGGACCTGAGTTCAAATCCAGCCTTGGACACTTAATATTTACTAGCTGTGTGACCCTGGGCAAGTCACTTAACCCCATTGCCTAACCAAAAAAAAAAAAAAAAGAAAGAAAGAAAGGGAAAAAAAAGAAAATGGAAGCTGGATGGCAAGGCAGTGGGAGAGTAAGTGATATTGAAAAAAGTTATGTAGGCCAGGAAGGGGAAGAAAGCTAGGATAGTAGCTGGATATGGAAGGGTCAGGGGGATGTTATCTTTTTTTAGAACTGGGAAAATTTGAGCATGCTTATAGGCAGATGGGAGAGGTAAAGATGGAAGATGTGCGGGAGAGAAGGAATACACAGTTAAGTGGAGATGGGATCCAGGGAATAGGTAGAGGGATTAGCTTTAGTAAGGAATTGGGATGTTGCTTCCACTGAAGCAGGAAGAAAGGAGAGACAGAATGGATGATGCTAGAAAGTTTTAAGATCGAGAACACAGTTGAATAAGCTTATGTCATAGCCTATGTTCTCTCAGAAGTTAGGTCTTCTATAAATGTGGAGGATGGGAGTTCGGTTGGGGCTTGAGGAGGAAGGAAAAGTTACAGAACAAATTGCTAGTCAAGAATAAGACAATAGGAAAAGAGTAAAAGGAATGCTGAGCAACAGTGAGGTCCCAGCTGAGGTTCTGTGCCACAAATTTGTAGTGGATGAAGTGGCTCCATTTCATCACTTTCTTTGTTAAAGATCTCCAGGACCAGAGTATAAATAGGGGAATTAGATAGTGGGGTAATACTCCCCAGGGCTGAGGATTAACAACTATGTGATAGTAGAAAGGCTAATGAGTAGTGAGGGTTTCCATGGTGATTATTAGTGAATTATTAAATTGACCAACCTTGGGGTCAAGTCTGGATATAGAGGCAAATGAAGCCAGTGATTCAGGAAGAGCCTAAGAGAATAGGCACAGAACAGAGCCTTCATTGAAGGTGAAGAGCAGGTTTAGTGAGAATAAAGGAGTGAGTATAAAGGATGGTCTTGCTTACTCCTCCATTGGTTTGCTCGTTATTTATCAGCTTAGCAAGGTCTTAGATGTGTTCCTCTGGTATCGCTGCCCTTCAGAAATGCCCTGAGGTAAGGTGTTGCCTTTCATCTTGATCCTTCTTGCCTAGCAGCATCCCTGTGAAATCAGAGTAGAGCAGCTTTCCTCAGCCCTTCTGTAGGTATCTGTTGGTGATGCTGCCTGCAGACACTTCCCTTTCTCCTCACCCAGCAGCCCTGATACATTGCTATAGCAACAGCAGTGAGGGGAAACAGAGCTGCTCGGGTGCTTCTGCCCTGGATCCTTTAGCATTTACAAGCCATGTGGTTGGTTTTTTTTCAGGCTCGAGATCCTGCTCCAGAGCCAGCGCCCAGAGGTGGAACAGATGATCCGGGACATGGGAGCAGGCCAGTCAGCCATGGAACAGCTGGCTGTCTACTGTGTGTCACTCAAGAAGTAAGTATTCCAGAATGTACTCAGGGCTTTCCTGAGGCATCATCACTTGCCTACATGAGGAGAGGGTCTTTCTCTGAAAGGAACAGATTAATCCCAGCATCCAACCCTGTAGACGCAGGAACCTCTTTGACTCTAGCACTCCCCTTCCTGCTGCTTGTGCTTTGAAAGAGAAGCTGGCAGGTGAGGCTCTGAGTGCTGGAGGCCCTTCTCTCTGTGTAACAGGGAAATCCCCTGCACCCTCAGACTAGGTCCATTTTTCTCCCTACAGAGGTAGGTGTGTCTGCCTAAAATTCCAGACCTTAGCCCTTTGCTGCCCTTTGTTAGGGTGAAAACTTAAATCAGATTTCTGAGCCTGCGTGGGTGGAGGGTCAGCCATGAGCTGACTAGGGCCTGTTACATCTAGTTATCCAGGCATAGCAGAATAGGAAGGGTGGAACCAGGAACTCATGGGTTCCACTGGGCTTCCTCTTAGAGAACTGCCGAGCCCTGCCTGTTCCATGCCGCTTAGTTTCACAGCGGCCCCAATCACGTGTGTCAGCTCATATCCGTGAAGTAGATAGAATCGTGTGCCCTTTGCAGGGAGAATAACTGAGGTGCAGGTTTAAATGATGTGCCCATTGTTCTTTTCTCTGCCATCGGTAATACTTCCCTGTTCTGCTAACATAATACTTTGGGCTCAACACTAATAAATATTAATAAACAGGTTGGCTAATGCCCTCTGATGCTGAGAACTTTGTGTTCAAACATCCTGATGCTTCTGTGTGGTGCCTTTGCAGAGAATATGAAAATCTCAAAGAGGCCCGGAAGGCCTCAGGTGAACTGGCAGAGAAGATGAGGAAGGATTTGCTTTCTTCTAATAACAAGGTAAGGTGGCGGGAGAGGGGAGCAAATAAAAGGGTGAGATGTACAGCTGTGAGAAGGGGGAGGGGGGTATGGTGAAAGGCCTATTCCTCAGTCTAGGTCATCCCAGCCAGGTCAAGTGTTTTAGGCTGTCTGTACTCCTCTGTGGGACCTGTAAGCTCTGCTGTTCCCTTGGGGCTATAGGACAGACTTAGAAAGAGACAAGATCATATTTCCTGCCCAGCACCTGGTCTGAATATTGGCAGTTCCTTTCACCAGCCTGCAGCACAGCAATCCTTTTATTCCTCCCCAATTGATTCTGTATAGACAGCTAGGTGGCACAGTGTATAAAGCACTGGGCTTGGAATAAGGAAGACTCGTCTTCCTGAGTTCAAATCTGGCCTCAGACACTAGCTCTGTGACCCTGGGCAAGTCACTTAACCCTGTTTGCGTCAGTTTCCTTATCTGTAAAATGAGCTGGAGAAGGAGATGGCAAACCACTCTAATATCTTTACCAAGAAAACCCCAAATGGGGTCACAAAGAGTCAGACACAACTAAAAAACAGCTGAACAACAACAAAATTCTCTTTAGATATAGTCTGTGTGTCCTTATAGATGTACTTGTCTCTCACATTAGAATGTAAGCGTCTTGAAAATAGGGGTGGCTTCATTCTTTTATTTGTATCCCCAGTGCCTGGCACATAGTGGGTTCTTAATATATGCTTGTTGATAAATGACTGATTTTGCTCTTGAAAGGGATCTTAAGTTCTCTTATCCGTCATTGCCTCATTTTGCAGACAAGGAAAGAGGCCCAAAAGTTGACATGGCTTGTCCCACTTCCCACAGACACTGCAGAGCCAGGATTTGAGCCTGGGTGCTGTGATTGAAAATCCGTCCCTCAGGGCACCATACCACCCTCCCTCCCTCTTCAAAGAGCAAAATATAGGCCTCTGGCCTTGAGTTTGGGGAATGACCATTCACATCCCAAAGGCAAAGAGCATTGTTCTAAACATCATGGGACTCGGCCATCATTAAGAGACAAGTCATCAAGCTCTCCTGTTTGGTTTTCTGAAGATGTGGTGGTCACTTTTTCGGTCAAGTCAGTGTGGATACAGAACAACACATTTTCTCATTTACTTGGAAGAACTGCTGTAAAAGGTGCCAGCACTTAGCCTAACCTCTCCAAAACGCAAGGGAAGGAGTCTAGGAGCTTTTAGTCAGGATCCCCTTCTAGGTCTATTAAAACTCTGTAAAAGTGTATCCTTTGTAGCAACAAGGATCAGTTTCCCCATCTTCTACTGTGACTGCTCTTCACCTTCTTCACCTCCCAGTGTAGCTTGAAGACATCGCAACTGGGCTCAGAGTACCCTGGATTATACTACAGGGATTTGAATGTCAGTAATCAAGTCCCATCTGTCTTTTTTTTCTTCTTTTTTTTAAAATTTATTTTATTAATTTATTTTAATTTATCAACAATCACTTTCGTATGCTTTTGAGTTGAAAATTTTTCTCCCCCTTCCTCCCCCCCAGCCTCCCCAAGATGGCACACAATCTGATATAGGCTATACATTTACATTCCCATTAAACATATTTTCACATTAGTGAAGTTGTAAGTAAAAATTAAAACCAATAGGAGGAACTATCAGAAAGAGGAAACAAAACTCAACAGAAGAGGAAAAAAAAAAGATAGCAATTCACCTTCCATAGTTCTTTCTTTGGATGTGGACAGCATTTTCCATCACGAGGCCTCTGGAGATGTCTTAGATCCTTGTAATGCTGAGAAGGGTTAAGTTTATCAAAATTAGTCATTGCACAACGTGGCTGTTATCGTGTACAATGTTCTCTTGGTTCTGCTCACTTCACTCAGCATCAGACCATACAAGTCTTTCCGGGTTTTTCTGAAGTCAGCCTGTTCATCATTTCTTATAGCACAATAGTATCCCATTACATTCATGTACCACCACTTGTTCAGCCATTCCCCAGTTGATGGGCATCCTCTCAATTTCCAATTCTTTGCCACCACAAAAAGAGCGGCTATGAATATTTTTGTACATGTGGGTCCTTTTCCCATTTGTATGATCTCTTTGGTATATAGCCCTAGAAGTGCTATTGCTGGTCAAAGGGTATACACATTTTTATAGCCCTTTGGGCATAGTTCCAAATTGTTCTCCAGAATGGTTGGATCATTTTACAGCTCCACCAACAATGCATTAGTGTTCCAATTGTCCCACATCTTCTCCAACATTTATCATTTTCCTGTTTTGTCATGTTGGCCAATCTGATAGGTGTGATGTGGTACCTCAGAGTTGTTTTGATTTGCATTTCTCTAATCAATAACGATTTAGAGCATTTTTTCATATGACTATAGATGGCTTTAATTTCTTCATCTGAGAACTGCCTGTTCATACCCTTTGACCATTTATCAATTGGGGAATGGCTTGTATTCTTATAAATTTGATTCAGTGCCCAAGTCCCATCTGTCTTGATGTGGCCCCAAGGAAAAGACCTGGCAATCCCTGCAGGAGTTATTTGCCAAGTACTTGGGCCTGCTGTTTCCAGGTTTGGGAGTTTAGAGGAAATGACTTCATTACTTGCCTCTGGAAGTAGAATGAGTTGTTGGGGGCAACCATCTGTGTGGTCAGATGATGGGGAAAATTGTTTCACTGTCCGGGCAAAGTAAACTCTCTTGGCTGGGGGAATCCTGCTCAGGCAAGGGCCTCTGACAGACTGATGAGGGAGTTCCCTACCAGGCAGATCCTGAAGATTGTCCCAAAGGAAGGGGCTTTGGGTGTGAGTTGGTATGATTCTTTGGAACTTTTCCAGTCTCATCTCTCTCTTCTTTGGTAGTTACAAAAGGCACTCTCTGAGCTTGATAATATCAAGGAGGAACTGAAATCTACGCAGAAGGATTTACAGAATGCAGACAAGGAAATCACGGTGAGACTTGAAGGGCCCTAGAGTTTATGCGCATTCACCAGAAGTAACAGTGTAACCCCTGTTTTTCACTTCCTGATGTGGACCTCTATACACAGCTTAGTTCTTCCCAGTAAGCTTGACGTTTGACACTCTCAACATAGAAACCCAGAACTAAATGATTGCATTCATTTTCGGCTGCCTGGGTGTTCATCCAGGACAGGTTTCAGAAATGGGAGGTGTAGCATCGCCTTTGTTCCCTCATGTATCCTTCTGTCTGTCCACTGCTGGACATTGTCGTGGTGCTTGCCCTCTGAAGTATTGGTTATAGTTTTTATTGGCTGAAGTGCTCACCTCACTTTGAGAGGCAAGTGGCACACCCTCAGTTATTTATCCTACCTGAAGAGGACTTTAGACTTTATTTGTGTGACCAATAATCCCTTCCTGTCCTGTGAATATAAAAGATCGCCATTTGATTTTTCACTGTTGCCACCAGGTGCACGAGGGGGAAGTAAGTTGTGCAGAATCACTTCGAAAATGTATTCTCTGAAGCTGAGCCTTAGGCTCTAGGACTGGACTCTGGACTGTATCAGCCTGGCTGTGCAAGGGAAGAGCCTCCGTGTACTGAAGGACCTGACTGAACTGGCCTTGCCTCTTGTTTCCAAACCTGTTCTCTTCTCTTTGTCAGTCTCTAGACTAAGAGCGTTATTCATTAGTCTTCTCATTTACACTTAGGCATCTTTCTCTTTCCTAAGAGCTTAAAGAAGAAGCTGACGATCCTACAGGGGACCCTGAACCTGCCATCCCACACCAGTGAGACCCTCAGTCGGCTTGTCTTAGAGAGGTTTGTTCAGCCCCTTTGGTGGCAGGGGGAGGATCTGGGGAAAGCATTAAAATATTCCTTATAGAGGGGTATTACTCATCCTAAGTTATTAGAGGAAGAAGGACTAGTGAACTGTCCTAGAAATTCATCAGGAATGAAAAACAAAGCAGGAAATGAATAACCAGGAACCACAGGGCAAACCGTTCTGGGTGTAGGCCTGACCAGAAGTAAGAAGCAGGTTTGAGTCTGTCTTCAATGCACCTTTGATATGGTATTTTCTTTTACTTTTGTTTTTGCATCACATTCATTTCAATAAATCACCAAGCATTTATTAAGCACCTACTAAGTGCTAGGGACTGGGAATACAAAGACAGAAGTTTGACTCTCCTTACCCTCAAGGACTTTGCATTCTAATTAGGGGATGCCATATATATATTCTATGTGGTAACAATGATAATTTTCTTTCCCCTGTCTATTAAAAGTATCAAGTTTGGGAGCATCTCAGCTGGGCCCAAAGTACCCTGGTTTTGCAGATCAGATTAGAATATTGGTTCCTGAGCTTTACTGTCTTGGCAGTGGCTCCAGGAATTGACCTAGCAGTTGCTGGCAAGGCAAGGGAAGGAAGTTTTAGATTAGGTAGCTGTGGGGATCGTGAGCCATAGAGCAGTAAATCGTCAGGCCCTTCCTAGGAGCAGTGGTGGTATTGATTTTAGTCTTATTCCAAGAATAAGAAATAGAGGATCGGGGGTGGGGGTTATGGGTGAGCTAGGGTACATGCATGGTGGCAGAGAAAATGGTGATGTCGTCATTGGGGAGGCCTTAGTGATCTGGTGGATAGATCTATTCTGTCGTTAGTGTGGGTGAGCTCTTGGAACAGTGAAAAGGGCACTGGATGTCCGAGTAAGGACATCTATCTCTACGCCCATCCTCAACCCGGTGAATCTTCCTTGTAAGAAAAATCACAACAAAACCAAACCCAAAAAGGTCAGCTAAACTAACAAACCAGTGATGGTATCCGTGAGTACATAGCACATTCTGCATCCTCGTTCTCACCCCTGCAGTGACGGGAGGGAGCTAGCATCCCCATTTTAGCCAGCCATTCCAAATGGATTACAGATTCCTGACTTCCAGGTTTCAGCAGTCCTGAAGCCTCTCACTTTCCAGCCTCCCTTGCTTCCAAATTGTTCCTACCTTTTTCAGCTTCTGGTGGAGGAAGACAGGAAGTGGTGGGACTGGAGCATCGCCCAGATCTGAATTTGACAAACAATAATAAGCATGAATATTCCCAGATACAAAGTACAGAAGGGGGGATTGTGTGTGAGACTGCAGATCTTGTCATTGTGCTTTTGAAGTGTTTACTCATTTCGGCACTTCAGTTCCAGAGCTGGTTCTTCGTCTTCTTGTTGCTCCCTGAACCTCCTCATCTCTTCTCTTTTTCTTTGAATGCTTCACATCCTTTTCTTTCTTTTCAGGGGGAATGTCTCCAGCCAGCTGTTGTCGTGTTCACTGGCATTTTTGCAGAGTGTTAACGAAGCACCTAATTTGCCTGTAGTTGTGTACTGAATGTTGTACAGAGCTACAGCTCTTGTCCTCCAGGAGCTGACAGTGAAGACAGGCACAAGGGGAGTCAGATGAATCATGTAGTTTAACGCCTTCATTTTATAGAAGAGGAACTAGATCCGAGGAGGAGAAATAACATGGTAGCCAAGCTGAGATTAGAAAGCCTAGGGCTTGGGGGCAGCTAGGTGGCGCAGTGGATAGAGCACCGGCCCTGGATTCAGGAGGACCTGAGTTCAAATGCGGCCTCAGACACATAATACTTACTAGCCGTGTGACCCTGGGCAAGTCACTTAACCCCATTGCCTAGCCAAAAAAAAAAAAGAAAAGAAAAGAAAGCCTAGGGCTTCTAATTACAATTTCTTCATTCTTTCAACTCCTCCAAGCTGATAGTCTTGTATATGCACACATACCTCTCTACCTGCACAAGTGATCCCATTCCCTCTCATCCCATCTCCTCCAGCAGATTGTTCCCTCTGTCATCCCCACTCTATCACTGATCTACAGTTTCTGTGTGCTGGCTTGCCTATTTCTCCCCCATTCTCAAAAAACCCTCCGCAGATGCTTTCATCTCCGATAACTATCATTCTGTCTAGTAAGTATTTTGAAGCTGGATTTGAACTTGGGTCTTCCTGACTCCAGGCCCAGCATTCTATCCATTTTGCCACCTAGCTGCCTCATCTAGAGGCTAGCTGCCTAGCTGGATTCTCATCCACATCACTCACTCTGACCATAGGTGTTCCTCAGGGTTCCATCCTGGATCCTCTTGTATCTCTGTACTACTTAACTTAGTGATCTCGTTAGCTCCTGTAGATTTAATTACCCTTGGTATGCTGATGATTCTCAAATCTACCTTTCCTGCCCCACACTCTCTGCTGGCCCCCAGTCTTACATCTTCAGCTGCCTTTCAGACGTTTTTCACTAGATAGCCAGTAGGTCCAGAATGAAGCTCACCGTCTTTATCCCAAATCCTCCGCTCCTCCAAACTTCCTTGTTAGTGTAGAGGGCATCACCATCCTCCCAGTCCCTCAGGCTCACAACCCAGGAATCATCCTGGACTCTGCACTCACCCCCATATCTAAGCTGCTGCCAAGGCTTGTCCATTTCCTGTTTGCAACATCTCTTGAACATACCCCCTTCTCTCCTCTGACACTGCTGCCCAAGGGGTACAGGCCCTTATCTCTTCATGCCGGACTGTTGCAATAGCTGCTGATGAGTGTGCTTGCCTCAGGTCTCTCCCTTTCATCCATCCTCCATTCAGCCACTAAAGTGGTTTTGCTAAAGTACAGGTCCAACCATCTCTCTCTCTCACTCTCTCTCACTCTTACTCTTACTCTCTCTCACTCTCACACTCACACACACACACACACACACACACAACTCTATAAACTCCAATGACTCCTTTTAACCTCTCAGATCAAATACAAAATGCTGTTTGGCATTCAAACCCCTTTGTAACTTAGCCCCTTATTACCTTACCTTTCTAGTCTTCTTACATCTCATAATCCCCTACCCCCCCAATATTCCTTGATCCAGTGGCACTGGTCTCCTCCCTCTTCCACAAACAAAACACTCCTAACTCTAGGCATTTTCTTTGGCTATCCCTCATGCCTAGAATGCTCACCCTTCTCATCTCTTCTACTGGAAGCTTTTCCTAACCCTTCTGAATTCTAGTGCCTTCTCTCTTTTAATTATTTTTTATCCTGTATGTAGCTTGTTTGTATATATTTGTTTGCTTAGTGTCTCTCTCATTAGGTTGCGAGCTCCTTGAGGGCACTGCCTTTTGCCTCTTTTTGTATTCCTAGCTTAGCACAATAGTAATAAGGTACTTAATAAATGTTTATTGAGTCACTGACATGTATACAAAGTGTAGCAAGCAAGATAAAAGTACATAAGTGGGTTGGCAAGATCTTTTTTAAAAATCAAATATAGTTAAGTAATTTAGTTTGTCTTTATTTAGGATATTATCCTTTGTTAACTGGACTCTCTGTGACCAGGCTTCAGATTATGCTCTCAGGCTAATCCTTGATAACCCTTCTATATAGGAAAGCTATAAACTAAAGCCGTTTCAGTATCCAGTAAATAATTATGGGAGTTTTAGTGCATATTTCCCAGTTAGTTCATAACCAGAGTTCAAATCTGGCATCAGACACTTGCTAGCTGTGTGGCCTTGAGCAAGTCACCTAACCTCTGTTTGCCTCAGTTTCCTCAGCTGAAAATTGGGATAATAATACCTATCTCCTAGGATTGTTGTGAAGCTCAGATGAAATAATATTTTTAAGTGCTTAGCACAAAGCCTGGTGCACAGTATATGCTATATAAAGGCTAAGTGCTATTATTATGATTATTTATCAAGTACTTAAATATCCATAGTCTCATAAATTATTGATTTTCCTTCCATCAACATAAATTGTATGATTGTGTCCCTTCCATGTCTCAGTAGATATTTTCATGAGTTTTTATAGTTAATAAATTCATCACCTGATGATCAACCATTTGTTGAAGAGCCTCTCCACACTTAGGTGGGTTGGCCCTTGAATGACAGGCACATTGCCCATGCTTTCTCCTTTGGTGGGACTTGCCAGACAGGTCTGGTGTAGAAGTCTTATAAATCTGGTGGCATAACCTTCCAATACCAGGAGTCATCTCACCATAACAAGGCATCAGAGCAGGCCTTCGGTGGAGAAGCCTGTCCTTATCCAGGTAAAAATGTATTTCAAATATGAATCATCTACTATATACTAGCATTATGATAAGGGCCATACATTGTGCTAAAAACCAAGTTGTGTGTTTTCTGTTATTTCCCCTCAATCTATCAGGTCTACCAAATAGATTGATAAGAAACTTTCTTTACAAAACTATTGACTATTATCTTCTATTGTCTCCAATTTGATTTTTCCTGCTCACAAGGTAGCTTCAACCTTGTTTTTCTCTTTAAATCTAGGCACAATTTAAGCTTTCTAATTTCTGTGTACTTTCCCATTCTTCTATAAGTTTTCAAAAGTAGTTCTGCACTAAGTGCCTAAGGATAGAATCCTCTGTTGGGTACTGAGGAAATTGTAAAGTTTAGATAGTACCTGGTTCTTGCTGTCATGAAACCCATAGTTTGGAAAGAAGGTTCAGAAATAAATATAGGTAATTCTAATGCACAGTATTGCATGATAACTTCATTAGGAAGGTACAAAATAAAGTGCCATGTGAAATCTGGGGGAGAATCAGAATCATAGATGAGGAAATCAGTGAAAGCTTTGTGTAGGTGGTAGCATTTGAGTTGGTCTTTTAAAGATGGTAAGAATTCTACAAGTGAAGAGGGGGAGGCAGTTTCTGGCATAGGGAATAAAAGAAGGCATGGAGGTGGGAGTGATCAGGTTGTGTTCTAGAGATGGATAGCAGTGCAGTTGGGCTAGAATGTAGAACGTGGGAGATAGGTTGGGTTTAGTTGATGAAGTCTGAACTTTAGGTAG